TTGCATTTAAGTGAGTTCCAATCAGTTCCATGGACGCTGCTGACATTAAGGGAGGGTCAAACTGTATGGCAGAGGGGTCGAGCTGTGATTTGATTGGATAATCTATGGATTTAATATCCCATAATCCTCGCAAAATCCCCCCCTGCAGCATCAGGGAGTGAAAAGATTAAGTGTGTGTGGATGTGTGCTCAGGATGCTGTGACTGACAGGGACAGAGTGTGTGTGTGCTTGTGTGTGTGCTTGTGTGTGTATAATGGAGAGGGAGAGATTCTGAGTGTGGCTCGATATAATATCTGCGCCGCGTGTTTGGAGATGAGTCGCAGAGGGAGAGAAGAAATCAAACAGCAGAAACACACCGATAAAATGGACTGTTGATCAGGCAGGTTGTGCCTGTGCACAGTATGGAACTGTTTTTGTAAACAAGCCTGAAAGAGAGAGAGAGGAGGGAGAGAGAGAGGAGGGAAGAGGAGCAACAGGAGGAGGAGAGAGGAGAGAGCAAATGACTGTAAAGTGTTTGTCATTGGTTTAGACTCACAGACAGAGGTTTTTTTTTTCTTCCTTCTTTTGCATCTGATCTCCAGGCAGCAACAACATTCAACAGGCTGCGGCACTGACTCCATCCTCCCGTTTTTACGCTCGGTGTCTTTCATTTTTCCTTCCCCCTCTTTGCTCCTTTCCTCTTAATCCTACTATCTGTCAACCTAGAAAGCTGGTGCCAAAGCCACATTAGTCTAAGGGCCAGATTTGTTCAACGGAGACATGATGGTGCCAAAAAATACAATTTTTTTTTTTCCAAGATAATGACTCAACAAATAGACATTTGGGCTCCTCGCTGATTTCCACCCCCCCAACCCCAGGTCCAGAGAAAGACACTGCTGTGGACTAGGGAAAAAAAAGAATAATGTTGAAAATAAGATATGATTTTTCTAGACAGTGGGCAAAAAAATGTAACTATAACAGTAGGTCAGTTAAAGGGATCGTGTCAAAAATAAGCATTAAAAATAGAAGAAGAAAACAAACAAATACTGAGTAAGACAAAAGGGAAGAACATTTTAAACAGCCACCAGGAGAACAGCCGATTCTGACTGGAACTCATTACAAAGACATTCACACATTTTCAAGCTGCTACAGCTGCGGTTTGATCCACTTCCTGATTCCCTGTGTTTGATCATTCTCCACCTACGGCCTCATTCTTTTTATCAGAATGAAGGACTGGACTGCAGCAGCAGGGTAACTCAGAAAGCCAAAGAAAAATATAACGGCCGAGGCAAAATAATATAAATATATATACAATACAAAGAGTGAATACATATGTATATTATAGAATATAGAGAATAATATATTTTGTTAAAAAAAGCCAGTCTAAACGTTGACTGTGAGTGTAAGGGTGTGTTTACATGAGAGAAAAAATATTCAAATCCAAATTCATAATTTTAATAAGAATTCTCCAAAGTCCATTAAAAGACAACTGGATGGAATAATCTGTTTTTTTCCCCACTATTTCAAGCAGCATAAAAATGTTTTTATGCAGCTAATTCAACATGAAATTGCCGGTTTTACTTTAAAAAAACAAAACAAAACAGACAACAATAATACAAACCACTAAGAATGACCAGTCTGTGGATATTCTGCTCCATCATCACACTGTGTTATTAAAGAGTGAAATTTTTTTATGATTTCTGATTAAAATGAAGCTGTTTTTGTGGTTCTCCGGGGCAGAGAAGCCCTGATTCAGTTGCATCATTGCAGCAGCACGAGTGCATTATTAAAACACTGGAGTGTGTGCAATAATACTTTATCCTGCGTGATCACACAAAGCAATTATCTTATGTGCAATAATTTGGGTGTTTCTCATTCATATTCATAACTTCAATTAGGGACAATTACACGTCTTCAAACATGTGCACGTTCTGACGATTCATTAGTTGAAATTTGCATAAAAAGTAACTTTGTGCTATATTTTATATTAAACACCTTTTTATCTGTTTACTTCTTTTTTTTTAATTGTGTTTAATGTGTTTACTGTGACTCTGATGCTGGAGCTGCGTGTTGAGCTTTTTTTTTAATCGTGTTTAATGTGTTTACTGCGACTCTGATGCTGGAGCTGCGTGTTGAGTGGCGCAGGCTTTTCTTCTCCCCGTCTCTTTTCATCTGCTCTCCAGGCAACTCCAAATATTCAACAGGCGTGAGCGCCCCCTCCATTATCTCCTCTTTTTTTATGTTGGGTGTCTTTCATTTTTCCTTTCACCCTCGTCCTCCTCCTCCTCCTTCTACCTGAAAACATCTAATCCTTCTATCTCCCGACCTAGAAGCACCCTTTGTCCTCCTGGTTTGTTTTTTCAGCGTCGTTCAGAACAACCTTGTTTACCTGATGTGGGGCTCTCATCAGCAGGGTTGTCATGACGATGGCCATGCGTGCGTGGTCTTTCGTCAGAGCGCCAGGGCCCGGTTGCTGTGCTCATCTGAAGTGGCAGAGCCTTGATGCCTCCACTTTTCTCTGTGTGTTTTCTCTCCCTCTTGTATATTCTATTCCCAATCTCCTGAGCCATCTGCTGCTCTGCTCTCCATCTCCTCCGTCTCCTCCTCCACCTCCACCACTGTGGCCTTCACCGTTTGTCTTCCTGCTCTAAAATATGGGCCCAGGGTTTTTTTTTTTTTTACAGACATCATTCAAACATGTGATCGGTTGAGGATGTCACATGAAACGACTGCCTTGAGGCTGTGGAAACTACTCCATAAATCACCTTTTATCTTTGCGTTAGAACAGTAACTGATCTAATTTTAGCCAGCGTCTGCTTTTATTGTGCGTTTGACTGTTGCACGTACACAGGGTCGCAGTATTTACTGAGGACACTGAGTTCCTGTTCTCGGTGTTTCATCAAGTAAATACAACGTCACTTGGTGCTGGAGTGAGAGTAAGGACTCTAACCAGCCCAGATGTTCCGTGGTTTGGATGAAAACAAAGAATTGTTGTGACGCAAAATACATCAGGATTAACTTGAAAATGCAGCTGTTGAAGAAACGTTAATAAATAACTCACAACCTTCAATCCTTCACGGCCACATTTCTGCCCTAAATGATGTTCACCGTGTGTTCAGAATCACTTAATTGGTTTATTTATAGACACGGAACTCACAACAGGAGCTGAGGTGATCCCGACCCTCCCCCCACACTCTGCCTCTCCCTTTTTCTTTTTCTTTTCACAGCAGCTGTCATTGTCTGAGTTGTGTTAGTTCTACCATATTTTTTACAAGAAAAAAAACTGAAGTATTGGTAAAGAAAAAGAAAACAGACAGAGGGCAGCGTTGCTGTAGATGAATGCACCACCATTCAAAGTTGTTTCAATTATAAATTTACTATTTTTAATATTTGAATTAGGGATACATTTTAGTCTGAGTCTGTGGATTATCTGTTGTTTTATTCTTTTGGTTTTTGTGAGTTTAAAATTTTGCGAAAACATTTTTGTGTAATAATCGTGGATGATGCTGCATTTTTCACTTTTCACTGCAAAAGTGCAAATATGATAGAAACGAGAGTGGACAAGAAGCCATGATTAAAATAACAACAGTGGTGTTTAGTGAGTGCTTTTAGTGCCTCCCATCACCGCAGCATTAATTTTAGGATGTCAGACCAAACTCTGTGCGAGGACAAACTTAAAAGTATAATTAAAGAAAAATTACCATTCAGTGACTGCATGAAAAGGCTTTCATTTGCTTGAGTGATTGGAAGATGGTTTTGAGACCTTGGCCCTCCATCTACTCTATCACCGCTTTAATTGGTGCAATCAATGGGCTGAGAGACACGGCCCCCCCCCGCAGCAGGTGCTGTTGGTATTTGAGCAGTCGGGGTTCACCGAGGTGGAGGAGCAGGACACGATGGTGTTTGTGCATGCCGTCCTGTCGGCAAGAGGAGCACGACCGCGGCACCGATCAATAGTGTCTCCTGGTGACCGATCACAGCAGATCAATCAGTGCCACAGCAACAGTGACTGGCCCAAATGTCACCAGCTCCATAATTAAGACCTTCATTAAGCCACAGTTAACAGAGTGTCACTCTGCTGCTCTCACCTCGCCTCCTCACCTGCCTCACCCGGCCCCCACCTCTATCCTTTTCCTCCATACGCTCCTTTTTCTTCTCCACTTTTCTTCCCTCCATTCATTGGTTCTTTTCAGTCTTTTCATGAGGCCCAGAGCTATTGATGTGTGCATTATTTTAATGTAAGTAAATGGAAGGACAATGGGAAAGTAAATGGAAGGAGGAAAAGAGAGATTTCAGCAGCTTCTCTGTGGAAGAATTGTAAAAGGTTGGACTAATCCTCTTCTTCTGTCGCACTTTTATAATTGATCTTCTTTTTAAATATACGATGCCTTCTTTTCCAACCCTACATACTCCCTGTCTGTTTCTGCCTCTGTCAGGCTTAAAATCGCTCACTACACACTGATGCTGCATGCTTCTGTAATCCAGATTAGCCGGCGAGTGTTCTTAATCTTATCACTTCCCCAGTACTGCGTGGGTGTGTGCTTTTCCTGGTTTTGTGTGACGGGAGACAGCAGTATTAGAGCAGATTTTGAGAGACTGTGGAAGAAGAAAGAGAAATAGAGAGAGAAGGACTGTGTGAATGTAGAATCCCTCATATCAGTGTCAGATGTGCTCTGCTGGAGGACCGCTGGCCAAAGAAGGGAGAAGAGAAAATGATTAGAGGACTTATAGACGGCAAGAGTTCTGACTCTGAGCATAAATATGCCATAAATATACACACGTGTCAGTGTGATTTCTTATTAAAGCAGTTCAAAGATGGATTATATAAAGGCTGCGCCCCTTATTCTCCATTAGTGTGGGCTGTAGCTCCATCATGATCCGAACACTACAAATGACTTTCAATTTTGTATGTGTTGGTTGCATATAAACTGAACAGACCATCTTTGTTGTTGCCATTTTTCTCCTATTAATATTGACAAACTCACCTCCTGAATTCAACTGTGTTTCCTTTGTCCTTCCAGATGAACCGTCCCATCCAGGTGAAGCCGGCCGACAGTGAGAGCAGAGGGGGTAAGAGACACTTCACTGAAAGACACAGCAGCAACACAGCACACAGTCAGCGGACAAACAGTAACACCAGGCTGGACAGCTACGAGGGGGGTTCTGGGGGCAAATCCCAAGAATTGATAGGAGTGGAATAAAGACTCCACAGAACAATAACGGTGTTGATTCACCGAAGAACAAAGTGTTGTGGGATTGAAAAAATAGCCAAGGAGTTACCAAATATAATAGGCTTTTTTTTTAAATATAAATTGGCTAAAAATGTGCAGAGAAAGACAGTAAAGACAGTTTCATGTTAAGGGTAACCTAAAAGAAAAATAATGACAAAGCTTAGATAAAGCAAAATGGCTACTAAAAATTGTTTTATTTATTTATTTATTTATTAAAAATCAGGAACAATTCACTCAATATACACTATTCAGTTGTGTGTCCCCACACCCTCCAAAAATATACATCAGAAATAGCAAATTAAACTAAATATAAAGCAATAGCAACAGCAACATTACAAAATAATTAGTCAAATCACTAACCATGGTTACAACGTAGATAGGGGATTTAGATACTTGGTTTGTAAATTGTCCCAAAACCATGAAACCACAGCTTGAACCTCACTGTTGGCCATGTTACAGCGATGACCTGGGAGTCAATTAGAACCAACACCAAAGATGATACATGAAGAGGCCCGTTGCCTTTTTTAGTTCAAACATATTGATAACGACAGTCTGCCGACAGTGTAGTATTGTTCCTGTTTGTGCCGGTGAGAAAGCTGTGACATCAGGGAACATGAAAGAGGACATTTTGACATGCTACAGTAGGAAAGAGCGTGGGTGGAAATAACAAAACCAATCCAGGCTGAACTTCACCTGCTTGTTTTTCTTCTTTTTCTGTGCATGTCGGCACTGAGTGATTAAAACACACCGTGTTATTATGCAGAGACAGGCTGAGTGTTAAACACAAAATAGAAATTAGCACGTCCTGCTAAAGTGTGATTGTGTGATCTCATGCTTTTCTATAGTCGTCTCTAATAGAACAATGTTTCCAGCACAAATGTTGCAGCATTATTAAATCATTCAGCGGTGTAACATTGAAGCCCTGGATGTCAGATCTCAACAGTACAAACAATGCGTGTATTTCTGCTTGTTTTTTCAATATTTTATCATAGTATGTACTCTATTGTACTATTTTCACTGGCTTTACGTCTATCCTAACTGACATCACATCTTCTTTAAAACATGGCTTCTCTCTGGCTGCCCAGGGCCAACTAGTTTATATTCAAAACATTGTTTGTAATTACATGAATAATAACGTTGCGTTCCACTTGCCTGGTAAGTTGGCAAGTGGTTACAGAATATTTCTTTTAGCAATGGAAAACCAAAATATTAATACACACACACACAAAAACCCAACATTTCCACAAAATGGTATTTATTTGTATTTTTTTAAGTTAATACAGAGAGCAGCCATTTTGGATTTGCAGTTTGGGTTCTTTAGGATTGACAAACTATGATTATACCATTGTTGACACACGGAGCAGCCATCTTGGTTGTGACTTCCAAGTGTTTGACTTTCTACACGCTGACAAGTAGGGATCAGGACCTGGGGGAGGGAAGGGGGGGGGTAATAATAGGATGGAGACCTAAAGTAGTCAGGGTAAGGTTGAGGTGAGGCGTTTACTGACACTGTTTACAGTTGGAGATCTGATTTTGTTCAGACTGTGCAAACCCCTGTGTGTGTTGTCGGTGTCTGCAGAAATGTAACGCGTTAAAAAAACCAAAAACGCTGCTGTGTTCCTCTTCAGCCGTGGACAGAAGGAGCAGCAGCTCCTCTGACAACACACAGGGTGACAAACATTTGAGTCACCACCAGATGCTGTCTGTTTTTTTCCGTACTGCTCGTGTTACTGCACTCTGGTGGCGCTGTGAAGTATGACATCCTGACATCTCCCCTGCCCTGGATCCGCTTGTCACACACTGTTGCTACTTTATTATTCATGGCTGCATGTTAGTGTTACTGTAATGGTGACATGGCACTTCTCCCTGCTCTTCACTGCCTGTACCACCTCACTCATAAATCACCCACTCCCTTTTTACCCCTTCTTCAATGTCATTCCCTCCTCTCTTCCCTCCCATCCTGCGGATCTCCTTCCCCTTAGAAGACAGGAAGCTGTTTGTGGGCATGCTGGGAAAACAGCAGACGGACACCGACGTCAGAAAGATGTTCGAGCCTTTTGGCAGCATAGAGGAGTGTACGGTGCTGCGCGGCCCTGACGGTACCAGCAAAGGTAATGTCACGAGTGCAAGACACAGAGTAAACCAAGCTCCTCCATAAATGTCATACAAGGAAAATCAATAATAATAACTCACTTTTTTATGTTGCGCTTTAAAGGAGACCCATAGATACTGAACTGTTCAAATCAAACACAACAGCCATTTCACCATGCCTACAGATGTTCTGTACATTTCTCACATCTCACCTTATGACCAACCATGACGTATGGGCTCACGGGGAGAAATCAGTCTCTTTTATGATAAAAAAGTACCAATTTATAAGGTTCTAACTCCAACTATTCTCCTTGTTATCGTGCCATAATGTTTAATGCCGGCCTTCAGAGCCAGGACTTTGTGGTTTTAAACCTTGTATGAAAAGGATAAAAGCCATAAAAAGTTAAAGCGTCAGCTTATTTAAAACTTATACAGCAGGACACGGTTCCTACAGTTTTATTCTGACTCTGGAGACTGGCATTTGTGTGACTGGTTCATGAGATTGTAAACTGTAGAAATTCATTTACTGAAGTGCATACGTTAATGACGAGCCTTTTGAAATTCAAGTGCATACGTTAATGACGAGCCTTTTATAATAATACATTAGTGTCATATAGTGGTGGCTTTATTTTGTTATAAAATAAATAAAATGTTAAAGTCTTGAATTCTAAACATGTCAAACTGAATATTTTTTAAAAGGCATCTTTGATATATATCACAGTTATCAACACACATTTGAAATATTATCATGATATCATATATATATGTACTTATATGTTCATGGCTCTCAGTCACTGGTTTGAATCCCAGCTCAGGAGGAAGTGCGTCTCTGTGGCGACGATCTATGGATTTTCTCCAGGTGTTTATGTTCCTCTCTGGGCTCAGAGGCACAGAGATAATATTAATTAGAGACTATAAACTGTGGGCGGGACTTGTTTGTTTCTAAATGTAGCACATTGATGGACAGGTGACCTTTCCAGAGAGGCTCTTTCCCACACACTGTAACCTGGCACCGAATCTGGCGTTTTTATTTTCAACTTTAATATATTCCACCAGTTTGTTGGAAAAACACTTTTTGTTAAAGGAATTATTGGTCTTGAGTATAATATAATATAATTAAGATTTGTCATGATGAATTGTGATTGTAATTAATCACGATTAATCGTGATTACTCCAGAGAGCATGGAGAGTTGCTTTGACACAAAGAAAATGAAGCCAGATCTGTTGGCTTCTAGCTGAGGTTGAAACATTGAGTTTGATTTTACAGTGTAAACATTTACAGAGCCACTGAGGAGAAGGTCTCACAGATGAACTAATCAATTAGGATTCAATGAGCCTGAAGCAGTCGATTGTGAAACTCGTTTTTTATCCAGTTGATAAATAACTAGGCCTTTGTTGTGTTTCTCGTTCTTCCTGTAGTTTTTCTCGGTCCGTTGACAGCTGAGCTGCTGCTGACTGTAAATGTGACCCTAACCCTTGTTTAAACATCAGTATTGTTGGCCAACATGCTAATGCCACGTGAACGCAAACGGCTGCCGTCACCAACCGCGACGACAGTTCAAACACAGTTGCTAGTTTGTTGTGTGAGGCATGACTAATGGAGCAGTAGGGTTTATGGGTCACAGCTAATGATGCGTTTGGAGGTTCACGGCCTGTGATTGATGAAGCAATAAATGTTTTGTGGACCACGTTTAATGATGCCTTCATAACTGATGAAGCGTTGGATGTAAGGAGGCTCCTAATGTATTTTTAAAGCAAAGTCATTGCTTTGTGACGTGCGTTTGTGTCTGTCTGTGTGTGTGTGTGTGTGTGTGTGTGTGTGGGTGTCAGTGTGAGGCCAACATTTTAATGATGTGTCATTTTATCTAGGGTGTGCATTTGTAAAGTTCCAGAGCAACGCAGAGGCCCAGGCTGCCATCAACTCTCTGCATGGGAGTCGTACTTTACCTGTGAGTCCCACACACACACACACACACACACACACACACACATCTGGGTGCACATAAATTCAAAAAGAGACACACACAGGAGCTCCAACTCCAGTCATTTAGACACTCGACATGGTGACTCAGCTAATAGTCACCACTTCTCATTTGTGTCCTACTCCTTTGCACGCAGAGGGAACATGTGCACACACTGACACACACACACACACTCGCTCAGACACACACACACTGTACAGTTGTGTAAGTCATAAAAACGCCTGTTGTTAAATCACAAACTGTTTTTAATGAGATATTTCTGTCCATGAATCTTCTTTTCTCTATTTGATTTATTTTTAGTTCTTTGTGTCCGAAGATGTTTCCTTATTAACAGAATGAAACACATGACCAGAGTAACGTAGATTCCCAGTCCTCAATTAGTCACTTTGGTTTATCAAAGTGTTTCCTAAAGAGCTTTTTTTTTTCCCCTGAAGTGTGACTGATTTCCTCTCCGTGGTTCACAGGCAGTCACCAAAAACTGAGCAGAAATAGTTGAAATCTGCAGAACAACATCTTAAAGTAGCTGCTGTTAGAACAACAAAAATAATCTAGAGGGGAGGGGACACTGAATGAGACAAACACACGATGCACGATCCAAAAAAATGCACCTGGACTGTAGTGAGGGTCACTGCCCAAAACTCGGTTTATAGTTTTCGGTGAAGTACTGGGTCAGCTCTGTAATGATTTGGTGCTGCTTTCCCTTTACTAACATGCATCATCAGGTAATGATCCACGACACAGTGTCATCTGGAATGTGACTTTAATTAACAAAGGACGGCGGATTTAAAAAACAAAACAAAACAAAAACATGTCCAAAGATATCCAGGTTGTCAACTTGTTTAGATTTAAAATTGTGGTAAGTTTTCTATTGCTGGGTGAAACATAAAAGCACAGGAGTGAGCAAAGACGTCAGCGTGAACTGAATAATTAATTCTCCTGTTCCTGTCAGTCTTCTTCAAATAGCCAGGTTTGTTGTCTCGTAGTAAAAGCCAACAGTGAGAATCAGGTCCACACAGGAGGAGACACAGTATGAATAGTTAAAAAACAACAACAGGCGCGGCTGGTCCTGAGTCAGAGACGTGATCAGCTTCTCTGACCTGCGTGGCACCGGGACATGCTGTGCATCATTACCTGTCTCTTCCTCACTCAGTGGTGATATTTTTCCCTGATCAGACGGAGTTATGATGTTCCACGTTCCCTCCGCAGGGCGCCTCGTCCAGCCTGGTGGTTAAGTTTGCAGATACGGAGAAGGAGCGGGGACTCAGACGGATGCAGCAGGTGGCCTCTCAGCTGGGCGTCATCAGTCCCATGACCCTGCACCTCGGAGCATACAATGCCTACACACAGGCTGTGAGCATTACAAACACACACACAGACTCACTCTGTGGGAGAAAAATAGGTTTGTGAGGAGCAGGGAGGCTGAGTGTCGGCAGCACTGTAAGAGTAAGAGGAGACACTTTGAGGAAAATAAATAGGTTTTTACTAACTGCCTGCTTTTTCACTGTGGTGAAAGTGGTGTGAATACTCTGTACATTGGTTCCCTGGTGGGTCTAAAATGTACCATCATGTTATCAATGTAATAGTTCACAGAGGTCTAGTCCACCACCTCACTGAGGTGTGTGGGCTGCAGCTCAGACGACGACCATGGACCAGTACTTCAATCAATCACAGTCTATTGTTCCTTAGAAAATAGTCCAGGCTCACACTTAGTCACCACAGTACTTCCTGTTAGTCATAGCTCTCAAGCCCTGGTACTATCACTTTGTTCCTGGTACTTCATTCAGTGGCAGCATGTTCATAATGCAGCCATAAAACCAATTAAGATTAAACAAAATTTAAAAATTCATGTGAATGATATTTGAAAAGCAAACGTCACTGAGCGTAATGTAAGCAGAATAGGTTTTAATGTCACAGCAGATGACGTTAGCGCTCTCGTCTTTGCTAATTGACCATTTAGTGCAAATGGTTTCAGACTTGGCTCATTGGCCATTGTTAAAATTGTGGCGCTTAAGGAGGTTTGACAGTGTTCTCACTCAGCTGCGCGCGTGTGCATTCAAACCTTCACTGAAATGTAAATGTTGCTTTACATTAAATTGTGGCGCAGATCAAAGTAATCTAATCAGTGATTTGGATTTATTTTTCTTTTTTTTTTACTGACTTTTGAGACAGAGAACATGCTCCATGATCTGAAAACAGATTATTACCTTGAATTATTATAAACACTCTGAAGCACAGACGCACAAACAGAGAAGGTCAAGGAGGACGGCTGATCTGTGTTTTGGAGCTGCATAAAGAGACGTGGCCTTTAAATGGACAGTGGTTTCTGACTGACGTTCAGTCTGGAGCCACTGCAGTCCTATAAAACATTTTGGATTTACTGAGTTAATTCAGAATGAAATGTTAGTGAAATATCTGTCTGCACTTGTAAGCTGCAGAAATTACACACTGAATGTTTGCCGTACAGCCTTTTAAGCAGTGTTTTGTTTTTAAACATTTGTCTCCAGTGGGATGAAAAGGCTGCACTGGGCTCCAGGCTGTAGGAATACTCGAAATCGTCCTTTAATTTATCCAGACAAAGTTTTAAAAAGTACATGTAAAATATATAAGTAACCTTAAATTTAGGAAATGTTTTTAAAAAAACATTTTGTTTATTTAAGAGTGAATTAGAAAGTTGGGTATAGGCCTAGAGGTAAGGGGTTTGGGCTCTTGACTAGGATGTTTGCTGGTTGAAATTTAGCACAAAGGCTAAAAATAAATAAACGTCAGCCAATCACTGGAAAGAACATGAAGACTTGGCCAGGAAGTTAAATAACTACAATGTCCCCCGAACCACACTTTACAGTGTGAAGCAAAGTCCTTGTCCAAATAGAGGAGGTTTCTGCCCTGCTGCCCTGGCACCTCCTCTAATCACCTCCTCTTCCTCCCTCTCTCTGTCTGTCTGTCCGCCAGTTGATGCAGCAGCAGGCCCTGGTGGCACAGTCGGCCTACCTCTCTCCTGTTGCCACGGTGGCGGCGGTTCAGATGCAGCAGCTCGCCGCCCTCAACCCCAGCAGCATCATTGCCACGCCGATAGCATCCATCACCCCCTCCTCAGGTAATGAGAGGCAGACATGTCTGGCTCTGGTCGGCCTTGATTAGATTTGTGCCTGAAATATGAGGACAGTTACACAAGGAGAGGCAGACGGAGAGGACAAAATAACACACACACACACACATATCATACAGTGTTTTCATACAGGCCTTCATGATGCCCAATATGTAAGATTTTATTTCTGACAAACAGAAAAATTTTAAAAAAGCCTAATTCAAGAAAGTTTCAATGAAATTATTTGGAAATTTAAAATTACATGATTCAGGGAAAAGTTGTGGAACCGAAACACAAATAAATCCTGTTTTTATTTTTTTATTTAGAATTATTTTTTTAATTAAATGCTAAGAATTTATATAATTTTATATAAGTAGAAATGTACTTATGTTTGGAAAAAAATGTAACAATATTTTTTACAAAATAAAAACACATTTTGGTAATATTATGGATATGAAAATAAATGTTAACATATATTTTTGAAAGGTGTTCTTTAACAAATCATTCCTTAAATCTGAGCGTTTAAATCCCGTTTAAACCCAGTACACATTAAAGTATTACAGTTAGGACTCCATAGACATCATGTACTACAAGTCTACCTGTCATCGTTTATTTAGTTATTTTAGTACAAATAATCGGACCTGACCTATTTGCAGGTACCAGCACTCCACCCTCCATCGCCGCCACACCTGTTCCTGCTCTGCCTCCACCCATCGCAGTGAACAGCTACCCCTCAGTGCCAGCTCCGCCCAACGGCCAATCAGCAACTGAGACTCTCTACACCAACGGAGTTCATGCTTACCAAGGTACAGCCGTCACATCCTGACGGAACCGTTTAAAGCTGAACAGGAAACAGAAACAGTCTTCTTCCGTTTCAAATGTATGCCGTTTATAATGCGTTATTAACAGGAAGTGACGCAGAGGAATTAAAATTTTGAGGAGCATTCGACGTTTGACGTTGTTAAAATGTGTGACGCAGCATTTGGTGATTATTTAACTATACACTTACTGTATCACAGCTCAGAGTCCTGTCCTGGATCCGCTACAACAGGCCTACACGGGCATGCAGCACTACACAGGTGAGACGCACGGCCTCCACGGTGGTTGTGTTACATTTGTTTTTCAAAATAAAATGTTTCTTTTTTAATGCCATAATGCGATAGTTCAAAATTGGAGCTGCGTCCCATTCATCTCACTCATTTTTTAGTATAGTCTCAGTTTGTACATCATGGAAGTGTATAATTTACACGGGCAGATTCAACAGGGGGTCAGCGACTCCTAGAGGCTTAGGGGGAGTACTGCCCGGGGGTCTGTTCCCCTGCTTTCAAATTTTGAAAATGGTTCCTGGAACGAAAACTTTTGAGCACTGTGCTGTTGAACATGTCTCAAACGTCAGTGCAAAAATGTGTAAATAAAATAAATGTCAGCTGTGAAAAAAAATATGTGGTTAAAAAAATTAAGTAAATGAATTCACAAATTCTTGTTTCTTTTATTTAAATATAAGACCTGGTGTCGAACCAGAATGTAAAAACTGATGTTTGCACCACAGTAAAAAGGACCTACAATAAACCTTTGCCCTCCACAAACACACAGCGCTGCTTTCTTCTGTAGAAATTAGCATCCAAAGTCCATAACATGCACATTTATTATAAAATGCAAATAACCTCAGTCTCTTTAAAACGAGCCAACAACACGGACTATATGGAAACCATCTGCCAGCTTTAGCAGCTCCGTAGGAGGGAAAACGTGTTTCGTTAGATGTTGCTGGAAATGTAAAGGGATTGTTTGCAGCACGCAGCCTGTCTCACCACTGATCCCTGCTCTGCTCCTCTTCCTCCTCCTCTTCTTTCTCCTCCTCATCTTCTCTGACAGCCGCCTATCCTGCCGCCTACAGCCTGGTGGGACAGCCTTTCCCCCACCAGCCCACGCTGGTGGCTCAGCAGCCGCAGCAGCCGCAGCAGCTGCAGCAACGGGAAGGTAAAGTAACCCTCACTCGTTAGCCTTCGAACAATTGTAAGATAAAAGTGAAAAGAAAGGCTGAAAAAACTTTTTTTTTTGTTTTACCTAGATTTAATGACAACAGTTCAAAGTGACGAGATTAGGTGAAAGAAGTGTCCAAATGTTCAGTCTTTGCAATTACATTTTATTATTATTTTAAACATTGTTCAAAATATCACAAAGTCAATTTTCTCTGTCAAAGAAGTTTCCATCATACCATTTAAAGTTATGCTAAAATCTGATGTGTAATCTGAATCTTTTCTGACGTCACTCGTCTCCTGACCTTGATTTGACCTCTACCTTGTTTTTATCTCCTCTCTCATGTCCAGGCCCTGAGGGCTGTAACATCTTCATCTACCACCTGCCACAGGAGTTCACTGACTCTGAGATCCTGCAGATGTTCCTGCCCTTTGGAAATGTCATCTCGGCAAAAGTGTTTGTTGACCGTGCCACAAACCAGAGCAAATGCTTCGGTGAGTCACAGTGAGACCAAGGCCACTGGAACCTTCTAGCTTTTACCAACGTTCTCTTCGAGTGTTGCTGCAGTTTGCTTGTCTTAACGTATTTCATTTCACCTCCGTCTTAGGTTTTGTAAGCTTCGACAACCCGTCCAGTGCCCAGACTGCCATCCAAGCCATGAATGGCTTCCAGATCGGCATGAAGAGACTGAAGGTGCAGCTGAAAAGGCCCAAGGATGCTAACAGGCCTTACTGAATGAGGTCAGTTAATTTACTGGATATGCTATGTCTTAGCATACAGACTGGAAGTAATGGGTCAGAGTAATGTTTACTTTACTGCAGTACTTAAAATACCTGTGAGTTTTTCCCCCATCATAACTTGCTATTTCAACAAATTATCTGAAATTACAGTTTAAGGGAGAAGTTTTACGGGGTTCTGATGTTGTGTCTAACCAGCGTTCTATCACAGGGTTGTGTGCCACCTGCTGTTCGTCATTAATTTTTTGTTTTACTTTCCATTTTGTTGTTTTTGTTCTGTGCCATTTGCCCATTTTGCCTGAAAACAAAACAAAACAAACGTCAACACGTCACTCCGAAGACCGTGCCGTCCACACGTAATATCGCGGAGACGTGGTCACTATGGCTACGGTTGCCTAGCAACCAGCAAAAACCTCTCCCCTTCTTCTTCCTACTCAGCGCGTCGTAAGTGAATTGGCCTGTGTTGGTTGCTGTGGCGATATTGGCTGTGATGGTGGTTGCCGTTAGCGGTTTTTCTTTTTTGGGCCGTTGCCTTGATTCACCATGCTCACCTGCATGGCGGGTTACTGTGGCGACCATTAACTGTGTTTGGTGCGTTGTGAGTTTCCTCTCATTATTTTGTCCTGGTTTTTTTAATCCTTTGAAACACTGATCAACAAGTGTCACTTTACCTCAGCATCTGTAAGCAACTGATTATCATGACATGCTGTTTTTACATTCTATTGAAAGCACCTTCAAGTACCGAGGACAAAATTAGAATTTTTTTTTAAATCAATTACAGACGTTTCAGTTTTTTTTCCTTTTTGTTGATTTTGGATTTTTAATTTTTTTTATTGTCTGTCATGATTATCATTCTTACACATTCCCTCTGTTTAGTTGGATGGTGTGCTAGTTTCGGTGATGCAGGGTTTTTGTTTGGTTGTGATTCAAATCCAAGTGACATTGTGCCTGAACTTTGTGTGGTTTTGTGAGACTGATATTGTGGCCCAGTATTTGGTGAAAAACAATATTTATGCTGTGAAGTAATCGTGTGTGAGTGTGTGTGTGTGTGTGTGAGAGACACAAGAACAAGACTTGTGTGTTTATATTGTACTTGCGCATTTGTTTGATACTGAGTAGATATGGTGGTGTTATTGTGTGTGTGTCAAGATAAAGGTTAAAATATATAAAGTTCCCCATGCAATCCTTTTCATTGAATGGTTGTGATGCCACTGTAAGGTTTGTGCTTAACGATGCAAAACAATTAAAGGTTAATTGTCTGGGAAGCCACACAATAAAAGAGCTACTCCAAGCCATCTTAATGCTATCACAGAAATACTGAAAAGGTTTTTAAAGATGTAGCTAAAGAGCTAAGTTTCTGCTAAACATTAGATTAAACCTTTTTTAGCATATTATCATATTGGCCCCAAAGAGTGGCCTCAAGAGATAAAAGTTAAATTAGTGAGTGTACATGAGTGTGTATCTGTTTTATACCAATTTAAATCTATAAGGTTAAAGCTGTCTGGTTCCTGTAACACGTGCTGCTGACTGAGGAACTGCACTCCTCTGTGGGAATTCTGGATCATCAACAACATTTTATCACTAAATACCACAAATATTCATGTTACACAACCAAAGTGTCCACTGCATAACAAAATCACCAGGTATTCAGAATCAGTATTTTGCAAAGGGTATCTGCAGGTTTTTAAACACTAATAAAGTAGAAAGCAAATTGATTTTTATGTTGGAAAAGGTTGATAAGTAAATACTGTAGTATTTTTATATATGTATAAATAAGTCTAAAAGATGATTCCATTCACAGAAGTATCCAAATTCATGGCAAAAAGAAACCGGTTAAACACACATCATAGATTAATTTGTTATTCTTACCCTACAAGAAACAATTATTCACATCTACATTAATTAAATATTATTTTTGAATATTTATCGCCAATATTATTTAATCCTTTAGATGTTTTTCTTTTTTCCTGGTACCTGCAGATCCCCAGTTTGCCACCAAAGTGAATTATGGGGAAAACCTTTTAAAGCAGTAGTTTCAAATGTTTCCATGTTCTAGATTTTTTCTAAAATCTGATGGGTTAACCTCTCTACCAGAATTCCTACCATGCATGTTCTGGATTTTTATTTGCCTGTACAGTATTTAGTATGTGTAAGTATTTTCTAAAACCTTTGCAGCAGTATGACTGGCTAATTATTTGAGTTGCATGGACACCAGTTAATCACTGAGGTTCCTCCTGAGACATTAGTGCAGTGTGTATGGCAGACACCAGTCCATTTACCAAGTGTTGATGTTGTTTTTAAATGTTGGTGTTTATCATTAACATGACCCACATGGTTTAAAACTGTCTGTGTTCATTCTCTTCTCCCATTTTCCCCTCATCTACAGGAAAAACCTAAGAGTTCAATCAAGGAAACCACTTGGGATGTCCCAGCCTTTGTTGGTTGTTTGACCAACCGTATAGCACAGGAGCAACACAAAAAGCAGTGTCATGTGTATGCGCTTTCAGAAAACAACACAACAGCAGTAATAATATTAACAATATTATCAGCTACAACCTACAAAATCCAGAACCCACAGTATCAGAAGTGCTCCAGGGTTCCTACTGTATCATTCCACAGCTGGATTCATTTATATTACTATGTACATACTCTATTGTCGGCAACGAGATCTTACATGTTAAGAAAAAGCATATCACTGATGTTATTCTACTGAACAGGGTTCTAATGTATAGTGTGATTTGTGGTCTATGGTGTCAACAGAAGGCCAGTCTGCAGTCAGAGGCAAAAGAAAATACTATTCTGTATGATTAACATTGGTAATATTGTTATGTAGAGTTAGTTTTATTATTTATACGTAATTTAAAAGAGAGGGGAAAAAACCCGGGGTTATTAAAGTGGAAGAGAAATAGATGTCCTCTCGCTGTACATACCTTGGTTTAAAAATGGAGGTACAAGGACTTCAACTGTCTCAAGTCAAGGTTCTCTGCTGCCACTACTTTTCAAGTCAACAAAGCGGAAGGAAGGGCTGAGAATTTTTCTATCTTGATTTTTTACGTTTAATTTATTCAGTAATCAATCCAACGATGGGGAGAAGTTGTGAAAATTTTCTTTTTTTTTATTTAAGATGGGGGTTTAAAAAAAAAAGAATTAATTCAGTCTACAGGACAATGAAGACACTTATAGAGTTTTTAATTACATAAATGTACCTATGGAAGTTAAAAAAACAAACAAACAAGCATAATGTTTCTTTATTTATTATCTACAATCGCTGTTTTAAAACATATGTCTTTAAAAGAAAATAAATCACACTTTAGAAAAAAATCAATGTGGGAACTGTGTCCATTTATTTCAATGACTGGATGAGTAGTAAATAGTGTTTGACTAAGTGGTTCTGCTGCTCCCTATAGGACTGAAGAGGCATTGACAGAAATGCGTACAAATGCATGCCAATCCTGAAATTGACCAATGTGACTACACGTTTGGACACAAATGTTGTTTTTATTCTTATACAGTACAACTTTAACCACAGTTCTGGGAAAAGATAATACAAAACTGTGAAAAAATCATTGTTTACGGATAACCTGTCAGCATCACTACAGCTCAGATATGAAGAAAACGACAAAGTGTGTGTAATCACAGATGCCTGGAGCAGTGAGTCTGTGTCTACCAGCCGTTTGGGTTTTGTATGATGTGTTCAAACATGCCTGGAACCTCCTCGGCATGCCTGAGAGTTTGGAGGGTGGATAATGTCACAAAGCAGGGAGGAAGAGGGGGTTGTACTTAAGAGAAATGTAGTGGGGGGAAAAGGACAAACAGTTAGTCCAAATAGCTTTTACTGGATATTGAGGGGAATTGTACCTAAGGGCTGTGCATATGTAAATATGCCCTGGATGACTATAGATGGCCAAAGGGTAATGTTTGCAGTCTTCAGTTTAAAAAGTCCTATTTGTTGACTTTATAACTGGATGTTACAGTTTTGCCTCCAGGTATGCTTGTAGAAAAAGTTTTCTTTTTATGCCAAAGTTTTCTTTTTATGCCAAACACTACCATACATACTTATGCACATTTACCTACCATGCATTATTTATTATTTTAGTTATAAGTGTAATATCAGTTTTTATTTAAAAAGACGACAATATGGAGTGTTTAAAAACAGAGAATAAACTGAATTTCATAATATGCACACAATGTATTTGCATTGATTTTGCATGTATTTTGGTTCATCTCTTGTCTGTGCTCACCTCCAGAGGGAAACATGGTTTCCCTCGAGGGCCGGGGTCTCATAAAGGAATGCTGAGCAGATTAAATACAAAATATAACGTTTTCATAAAATTTCAACAACAATCAAAGATGCGTGAAGCTCCTGTAACCTCGTCTCCTGCGAGTGACGCCTCGGTTGACGATGCTGTTGCGGCGTGTGACACTAATCACCCTCCATACAAGTGGAAGTTCACGTCACTTTAAATAGCCTCCACCCGCCTTCTCTGCTCTATTTAACATCCTACTATGACATACTCAAAAGTTCTCCGGCTGCATTGAAGCCGAAGAGACTCATTCAAAATACTTTTATCAGACGAAAAAAAGTGGTAAACAGAACATCCTTCTCCTTTTAATTTAACCAACAGTCATAAGGAAGCGTTTCGAGAAAGTGCCACAGCGAGGTTTTTTGTAGTTCGCCAGTTCTTTTGGGGGGGAATTACCAGAAGTAGGGGTTTACTGAACGAAAAGGGGCGGATCGTTGCAACAAGATTTGGGATGTGTTTGACGGAAAGAATCGTCTGAAGTCAAAGAGGAACAAAAATAGCAGCCGCGCATTTGAAAAGCTGTCTGGCTGTCTGAGTGACGGTTTACAGGAAACACAGGTAAGTTAACGGCACCGTTACTCCATGTCTGAACGCATTTTAATGGTTTAATGACTTCGGCTCATTTACCACCTCATATCACAGTGGACTGCTATTCTTAGACATGCTAGAAAGTTCTCACACTCTTAAGTGAATGTTATTTCTCCCCAATCGAATATCCCATCGTTTGGGACTGTATTTTCAAGTATTTTTTACGCCAGCAGGCCTTCTGTTTCTTCAAATGTGTGAGTGTTTGTTTTGAGACACCGCGGCATACGTAGTTGTAAACTGACAAATCTAATAAAAGACAACCGCCGCCCCAGGGGGAAGCAGTGGAATTATTATCAAACGCAAAAACGATTCCGCTTGTTGAAATGGACTCGTTTTCTACCGTAAAGTGACGATGTGACGTAAAGCTACTAATTTTTGTTTTTAAACTGACAATAAACCCGAGGTAGCCAATACCCCTGTAATGGATAACGAGAACTTGTCTAATGTTTTCAAACTTGTCCAAAGCTCCGTTTCAACTCTCTGTTCCGCTATGTCCAGGAGACTTCCCGGCTTGCGCCATTCGTGCGCACCCAGCCACTCCCTGCGCAGGTTTACGCAAACAGCGTAGACATCTGTGACAGACATTTTTAGGTACACGGCTGAATGCCAGCATTGCACACTGTCCAAATTTATCATATTTTTTATTCCTGAACAAATATGAACTAGTTATGAAAAATTAAAGGCACTGAATGCACGTGGTTGCATAAAATTAAGGCAGATGGAAAAATGGAAATAAAAGATTTATTGAGAGAATCAAAAGAGTAGAAATGTCTAGAGTTACCCTTTAAAATAACTACAATAAAAGAAAAAAAAAGTGTAGTCAGGGTCGAGATTGTTGTTAGTTACATTAGTGTTATTTAGTTAGTTGCAACTAGTGTTCTTTTACTGTTGTTTAATCAAAGGATTGTAAGTAAGAAATGAAAGGAGTCTGCCACTGTCAGTGAAGCACCGTAATGGAAGTTCCAAGATAAGTTATAAGGTAATTTATTATATGTCCATCCATTTTCTACTGCTTAATCTTTTGCAGGGTTGCGAGGTAAATCATTATGGGTGATAAGCCCCCCACCACCACAGTCAAACATTAATTAAACTTTTTTTTCACATTTTCTCTACCACCATAAACCTACAACCGGGTTAAAAATACTTATATCTTTTAATATTTTTAATATTTAATATTCACATACTTTGGGACACTACTTATCAGTGTCAGTGAGAAACATTGATTGGTTACTGTGAATTTTAAACCAGATGTTAATTATTTCTCATTGTTTCTTTGATATTAAATTCATAGTTTTCAATACCAGATTTTTTACAATTTTTTTTTAGTTGCAAGTATAAAACTGACAGGAATCCAGTTCGTAGTCATTGTTCTTCATGTAAGCCACACTCAGTGCTGGGTTGGTTTTCCAACAGGAGTTTAGTTAACAAACTGTTTACCCTAGCTTGCAGCAGATACACCTGCCAATACCACTGGTGCCTGCCAAATATTGATCTCCTGGAGCTACTTACAGCCAGAGGATTATAAAGGGTTTTTTTAAGTCTTCAAACTGTGGCTTTAGGAGGGCTAGGACTGTGAGATATATCCTCATTCTCAGGTTAATCATTAAGATGCAAGTCTGCCCCATTGTTTTTATAATGGGGTGCTGTTTGACTTAATGCAATGTCATGTTAGCATTAAACGTTTTACCTTTTGTTGTATGCATTATATTATGTTATATTAGAAGCTATAGGCTGTGTATATATATATGTATATATATATATATATATATGTGTGTATATATATATGTGTGTATATATATATGTGTGTATATATATATATATATATATATATATGTTAAGAGAACCCAGGTTTTTCCATTTACGTTGAAAAAAATACAATGAACAGTTGTATGAACCAGTTGAAACACTTGACCAGTGAGGATGTGCAGTCCCAGTAAAGATGTTTCATATCATGTCTAAGAATGTTGTTTCAACCATACACTGTGAATGGAAGATGGATGGAAGGATGTTACAGACTCAGACTTAGATGATTTTATGTGTCAATTGAAGATGGTCACTTGTCAGTTTCTTGTGGATGTCTGTTGTCAGTTCTTTAGGCCTGCATAAAGGCAAATGATCTCTTTCTTCTTTTAGTATTTACAGCAGTCCTTTGCTGTCAAAGATTGATCACAGCCTCCTCTCTTACCTCCTTTGAATGTAGCTGTGATAAGAAAGCTGTTCTGGTTCCTCCCAGAATGTACATGCTGCCATTAGCTAACCAAAGAAAGCTTTGATCCTTTATAGTGTAACTGAAGAACTTTCACAATCAAATCTGTGGGAGGAAGCATTACACAGTCCAGTGTGTTCAGTCCACCAGAGACTACAACAAAAATGAGAATCCAGTAGTCCACTAGTCAAGAAGAAGGAACGGAAGAAAAAAGGAGAAAGGAAGGAAAGGAATGGGCGAGGAAAAAACTGAGAAAATAGAGCATGGTGGGTAATTAGAGGTCGTTTCAGAATTAAATACTACAAATCAGATATGGCCCTAGTTTCCAAACTGGGTCAAGTCAACTCAACTAAAGTCATTTCGTATTTGTCCGACTAAAACAAAAATGGACTCAGCAGGGACAGAGACTTGGTTACAATTTAGTCAGACGACCAAGACGTGTTGTGCTTTCTATCTACTGACTTGGCTACAATGTTTTGAGAGCAACCATCGTCAGCTAGTTTCAAGCAGCGCGTATGAGAAATTTCAGGTTCCTCTGCCGACAGATGAAGGTTGTGTGTTCATCTCTTAATCCCTCATTGAAGAAGTGAGAAACCTCCCTGTAACACGTGTTGACAGAACACACACAACCCACCTGAGCCCTGTTTATTCCTCTAAAACTTAACACAATCCACAGCTCAACCATCAGGTTTCTCCCTGGTCTGTGGTCAGATCACAGAGAAAGTAAATAGAATTTGTGTAAAAGTTGGATGTCAAACATGTTCATATACATTTCCAAATTTCTGCGGTTAGAATTCCTCACCTGAAGTGTAGTGCATCTGTCAGGTGGTGCTTAACAAAGGTGGAGTTTGTACTGTGTATATATATGTTTAGGTTCATGGCTAACAACGACAAGTTAAAGCTAACTGCAGTGGTTACTTTCGCAACATTAAGGAATGATTCACTCTTTAAATTAATATATATATATATATATATAAGCTTCTGCAGACATGGTCCCTCCTTGTTATTTTTAGTTGCCACATTTATGGAAAGTTATTGATTTATTTATGTCAAAATGTTGACCCTAAAAGTAAATGTTTTGAGTGGAGCCAGTTTTCAGCACCCCCGCTGGCCAGGGCTTCAAACCTTTCCTTTTATATAACAGTTCTTGACTTTTGAACATTAGCGTTTACTTTCACCACAAGGCCCATTTTTCTTTTAAAATATTTCCTCGTCCTATCTTCAGCTGTTACGGTTGAATGAATAACAGTTAACAAGAGAGAATCACGAGTCATCTGGCTCATCAGCACAAGCACTAATCATTGTGTCACTTCAAACAAATAGGGCAGTGTGTTTCACAGTTGGGAGAAGGCTGCATTAGCGTACTGCTGTTACAGGATTGTCTGTTGTTTTCCCTGAATTTTGTAACGTTCCTGTTGAAGAAGTGACACGTTTCTGACCTCCTGAGGTGGTGAATGTGTAATCTGCATTTTCAGACAGCTGTCTGTTACTGGTTTATTGCCCACAGCTAAACTTCTTTTCTTGGTGACCTGTTTATCCTAATCTGGAAGTATTCAGATACAGTGCCTGCTGGCTAATGTTGGGTGAGATTAATCACCTCCAGATAACACCCCCTCCTCTTCCCAGCCCTTTCTGTTTCCTCCACTTCCTTTCAGGATATTATCACGATACAATGACTTTCTATATTTATCTAATGAAAACTCGACTGAAAGGAACCTGTCTTTTTATGATTTCCCTTCATAAATATCATTTAAAGCATCTGTCTGTGTTTAAGATGTCGACACTGAGCGAGCTGGTATGGGCCGACTGGATCTGGTTTCCTGAAGGTTATGGCTGGGCTGACCTAAAAGACAACGATGGCAAAGTCTATCCTAAATGGCAGGACCTGTGGGCCTGCATCCCCATCGCTTTCTGCTTCATGATCATCAGAAAAGTATTTGAGAGGTGAGTTAAAAACCTCTCTACATCACTGTAGTATGATTGTGGGTTTTTTTTTTACATTACCAACATTTCCCTTCCCAGGACAGTAGCCATTCCTCTGGCCTCTCTGCTGGGAGTGAAAGACAAACAACAAATATCTGCTCCTTCCAACCCCATCCTGGAATCCTATTACTGCAGTACATCAAAGCAGCCCACACAGGTTTGTTGTCTTTAAAAGGGAACATTAAAGCAAAGCCTTGCACAATCTCCTAACCACCATTTTTTTTCCCCAGGCGAGGCATAGAAAATGGCACTGGCTCATTTTTTAAAATTTTGTTTTCTTTGCTTATTTTTTGCCAGAGCTCCATAGAGAGTTTATGTAAACAGACAGACTGCTCAGTGCGTCAGGTCCAAAGGTGGTTCAGGCAGCGGAGGAACCAGGACCGGCCCAGCAAGGTCAAAAAGTTTCAGGAAGCCAGGTACCTGAGCATCTGTCAGATCACTGGTGCAGTCACGGAGGCGTTTGTAGTGCATTTCAGGTTCTGTAGAGCATTTAAACTCATTGTTGTACAGCTAAGACACAAAGGTTCACAAAGTGGGGGGCATGGCCTTTTGCTTTTGTTCATTTTTTTTAGTATTATATTTATACCGACAATTATATTTTTATAATATATTATATTATATAATATAGCTCTATTTGGTGTGTTCATGTCTGCCTGTTTTTTCTAAGCCTCAAAGTTTGGCTGAGGAGCTCTATTTGGTGTGTTCATTTCTGCCTGTTTTTTCTAAGCCTCAAAGTGGAATTGTGTTTTTGTGTTGGTGCAGATTTGCTTAGGACATTTTTAATAGGATTTAATAAATCCCGGAACACTCTCTCTCTTTCAGTTGGAGATTTACCTTTTACCTTTTTGCTTTCTTTGCCGGCCTGGCTGTTCTCGTCGATGTAAGTACAGTCACAGAGGTTTCACAACAACGCCTCAAAGACACTGCTGTTCTGACAGGAAACTGCTGTATTGACCAACACTCTCTGTCAGTTATTCTACCAGCTCAGAGTTCAGTTTAATACTAATCTTTGTTGTTAACACACAGCAGGAGTGTTTTACAGTGTCTGTAGCCTGTGCTGTTCTGTTGGACCAGTAACATCTACTGTTTGTTAATCAGTAGAAATCTCTTTTCAGAAACCTTGGTTCCAGGACGTGCAGCTGATATGGGAAGACTTCCCCAGAATGGTACTACATATGACTCGATTGGTCACTTAACCCTTCAAAGTCCTATGTGATTTGTTTATCATTGAATGAGTTGACGTCAGGCTGACATTGTTGCCATTTGTTTTCCCACAGCCACTGTTGCCCTCTCAGTACTGGTACTACATGATCGAGCTGGGCTTCTACCTCTCCCTGGTTTTTAGCGTAGCATCCGATGTCAAACGCAAGGTAAGTGATACGGCCCTGCTTCGTAAAACTGGATTAGCTCCATACTTTGAACCCCTCAGCAGCCTTTCATCAGGAGACATCACTCACTCAGTGAGTGCACAAGATAAAGACGATCAATATCCACCTGTGTGTCTGAGGTTTGGATCTTGGTTTCTCTATGACGTGGTCTGAACTCATCACATTTTATTGAGCGTCAGAGTTCAAAACTGCTTTAAAGAGTTAACGTCAGTCTCTCCTCGTCTTTGTCCTTTGGTCCCTTTTGTTTCCATGTCATCGTGAGTGAGGGACGACCACCTGGACTGGCTCTGTCTGATCAGGGATGCTGGGTTAATTGGTGACCTGTGTCACACTGTTAAAGTCAAGTGGACATACAATTCTGACATGAAAACAAAGACCTGAAACGTACAGTCTTATCATTATTCAGTTAATGATTATTAATGCTAATAAAATGTTAACTGAGGTCTTTAACTGAGCCTTGTCTAATTTCTTACTTTTTAAAAAAGTATAATCCTTCGAGTCACACTCTAAAGAAACGTCCTCAACTGGAAAAGTCTTGCAATAAAATGAGGCATTTTAATAGGTCTCGTAAACTTGTGTATGTCAATGTGACGCTCACTGTTCTGTCATAATACTGCTGTAAAAGATGACAACCTTTAAAACTGTCAGCACTTTGTAAGACCTCAGGTCCAGTATTTTCTTCTTTGTTCAAATTTTTTTAACTTCTAAAGTGTAAGAAACAAACACTCTAAAAACAAGGAACTTTTCTGTATTCTTTCAACTATTAATCTTTCGTGTTATTGAAGGACTCCTCGTTACCTCTGTTTGGCTCCGTATGTGAATGCAGCGTTAATTAAAGCAAAGTGCAGTGAGTTAATCATTTGTGGAAAGCCCATATGAATCACACACACTGTGGATGGGTGACCAGTCTTTGCTGCTTCATCAATAAGTGTCAAACAGCTGGTAAATTGTGTCCTTGTTTTTGTGTATTTGTGTGTGTGTGTGTGCGTGTTCTCTGCAGGATTTCAAAGAGCAGCTGGTTCACCATGCGGCCACCATCCTCCTCCTCAGTTTCTCCTGGCTGGTCAACTACATCCGTGCAGGGACTTTGGTCCTCCTGGTGCACGATGCCTCCGACTATCTACTGGAGGTACAATAAATTACTGAAAACATGTTGTGAGAGCTGAGAGGTCTCACCTCCACTTATAGATTGTTGTCTGCCATCTAGAGGCAAACACAGGTCACTCACCCACTCTGATTTCTTTTCTTTCTTTCTTTTTTTTTGGTATTGCAGTCGGCTAAAATGTTCAGCTATGCAGACTGGAAAAAAACCTGCAACTTAATTTTTACCCTGTTTGCCGCCTTTTTCTTCGTCACCAGACTCATCATCCTGCCTTTCTGGTAAAAACGCACCTTATCAGTAACTGCTATGATTTGGAAATGTAACATAAGAATTATAATTATTTAGTGTTAAAAAATAAGATGCTTTGAGAATGAACACTGCATGTTCATTCTCAAAAAAATTCTCAAGACCAAATATAGAAATTGTTGATTTCTCATTTTACAAGACCAAATATAGAAATTGTTGATTTACTGCATTTTTAAAAACTAAATATTTGCATGTCTTTATGTTGTTGACTGTTACTGACTGAAGTCTCTGCTTTTATTCTGTTGTCCAGGATCATACATTCAACTTTAGTTCTGCCCCTGGGACGGTACTCAACCTTCCCCACGTTCTACTTCTTTAATGGACTGATGCTCGTGCTCCAGGCTCTGCACATCTTCTGGGCCATCCTCATCTTGCGAATGGTCATCAAATTCCTTCCTGGAAATGTACAAGACACTACTTTTTACATTTATTCATTTCATTATTTATTTATTTAGGGGTTGTCAAAATGAAATTCTTAAATCATTTGTTAAACAGTCAGATCAAAAATGTTAACACACTGTAATGCATGGGCAGAATGATGTTAGTTAACGAACGAATACTCATGATTAATCCACACATTTAATCATTTGTCAGCACTTTTTTTTCTGTAACACTTTTTAAGATTTTAATATTTAGTTTTACTCGACAGGACATTGTGGAAGATGAGCGCAGTGATAAGGAGGAGATGGAGTCCGAAGACGACAGCGTCAAACCCAAGCTGAGGGAAAAGCCCAAAAATGGGCACACGCAGAATGGCTTCAGCCCCCTGAACAACAACCACAGGAGGAGGCAGTGAGTGGACAGTGAGGAGGGGGCGCCAGAACAACCAGGCTGTTGAATGTGGTGCAGTAAGCAGCTTGCATTTAAATATACACAGCTAGAAATCCATACACATCACTCTGGTGTGACCGCTGTCTCGTGTGGACAGTGTCACGTCTCTGTTAATTACACTAAAGACAAATGAAGGTAAAAGTAAAGGGCTAACGATCCCAGTGAGTGGTTTTCTGGTCGACACACACCTTGTTTTGTTTTCCTCTCTTCTAACTTGACTTTGCTCTTCACCCAAATGATGTGCTGTTGACCAAGATGTGGAATTAACCTTTTTTTTACTGAAGAGAGTTTGATAATAAACTTTTTGCTGCCACAGAGTCCTGTCAGGAAAGAAAAATAACATTGAGTTACGTTAACATCACAGACGGACAGTCGTTCTGTCAGAGTCCAGCTTTATCATTGACCATTTTAGTAACGCCAAGAGACGGGAAGAAAATCTGTACCAAAAAATAATATTTTCTAACAGATGAAAAACAGTGTTGTCTTGTTTGTGTTTCACAGCACTTGTAAAATATTTTGAGCATGCTTGTTTTTCTGTTATCAGTACTCATGATGTAAAACACCAGCGCTGCGTGTTAGAATTTTTTTTGAGTGTGACTGACTTTGTTGAAGTCCTCAGTTTTTACTTTTAATCTTTGTATTATTTACTGGCCGTTGTGTTTTTTGGGGTCTTTTTGAGGCAACAATGTTAAAATGTGTTCATTAAAATAATAATAATAATAATAATACAGTTAAATATTTGGGGATAAATAATTAAATTTATAGTGTTTCAAAAAGGTGCCACAGCTGCCAGAATAACAGAGAAGTTATTTAAAATGTTATTTTTAATTTTGATTTATATCCTCTTTTTATTTGTTTAATTTTTTACTTTGTTTTGTGTAATTATTTTTTATTGGTCCGCTCAACATTTGAAATCTGGGAGCAAGCCAGCGTGTGTGTATGTACGGGTGAAAAACTAGGTTTGATCAGGTTTCCATCAGGTCTTTATTCTTATATGGAAAGTTTACATGGGCCCCACGAGGAAATGAATTCTTCGGATGAAGCCGTTTTGCAGCCACATGCAAATGCCGGCAGGTAATTTGTTAAAGTGTAATCCAGACCAATCACTAACTGTTCATGAATTCTTTATTTGATGGAAGAGTCGGAGGCATTTCCATTCCGAGTTGTTTTCCCCATCAATCCCACGATGCAGCTGGTTTCCTATACATTTGTTTAGATTTATGTTAGTGGAAACCTGACTGATTCATTCATATAAACATACAGTTTTAACCACAGATTTAGAAAAAGTGAAAGAAAAACAAAGGACGAAAAGCTCAGGTATGATTTACTTTCCTCATTTCCAAGTGCCTTCATCATTTCATTTGGTGTAAAGAACGGAAACATGTTTCTGTCAGTTTGTCTTTACTTCTGTCCCAAAATATTTAACAATTCTACTACAATACCTTTGGCCTTAAATACTTAGCCTATTTTTACAACAGGTTGACAGACAATCAAACTCTGTTTGTGGAGGATGTTTTTATTTTCATTGTGTATTACAGAAATGTAATATGTTGCTGAAAATAAAAAAAAAATAGTTTAACTTGACTCACTGCACGTGTTTTCTTTTAATTTTACTTGACAAAACTGTTTAGTGTAAAGAATTTTGTCATGAATTGCCTGATATTGTTTTAATATGCCTATTTATATATGCCTAATTCAAACATTTGACAGTTTGAAAGTAGAGACATCAATAAATAAGTAGTTCTCCTGCAGAGTAAGTACTGTTTGGCTCCACCTGTCTCCACTGGATCTACTATAATATCAGATGGCACAGTAGTAACACGCCACGATGAGCAGCACCTCGTTGGCACAGTTTCACGATCACATGGTCCAAATATCTTAAATGTTTTTCTGGGTTTTTTTCCACAATTAGCCTGAGGTTTCCAATGAGAGGAAGTTAGTGAGCATCTCTGGGGTATTCCACTGGCTCGGGTTTCTTTTCTGTTTGTCCTCCAGTTCCTGTTTCTTCTCCCTCCATCCTCTGCCAGTCAACTCTTTGGCTGTGGCCTGAAAGGCCTCCTTGGCTTAATCGCATATGAAGCAGGATCACTTTACCTGTGTGCCTCCACGGCTGCAGCCTCCACTCACTGTTCATGTCACTGCCAGCTTCACTGTAACCATCTCCATTTTAAAGTGGACAGGGTCAGTTTCCCCGCCCGCTCTCACATCCACCTCCACAGTTTAATTGCCATAATGCATCTCCTGTTTCTCCGGCTCTGACGTCTGGACTTCTCTCTCCACACCTCCCTCAAACTCCTTCAACGCCGTCTTATTTTTTTGCCATTTTAATCTCTGCCTTTCCTGTTCACATTAAGAGTTTCTCCTCTTCCCTCCATCCCTTGTTCCTTGTTGGAGTTCTGTGTAATCGATGAGCTCTGTCACCCAAGGTGCCAGAGCGGTGGAGGTGTGAAGTCTAATTGCGGACTGTTGATGGTCGTCCTGACAGGAGAACAAAAGGTGTAGGGTGTTTGATACACCGGCCAACTTTGAAGACCGTTATCCAATTCCTGCTTAACTATTAATAACGGCTTTACACTACAGTGGGAGGCTGCAAGGTGCACGTGTTTGTGTGTGCGTGTGTGTGTGTGTGTAGAGAAAGACATGTGGCCTGCTCATTTTCACTGTAATGATCATGAGAAGCGGGGAACATTGTGGACTGTGCTGTAACCGATGAGTGTCTTATATAAGGTTAGTAAACGGCTGAATAAGTAGAGAAGAACTGAGACAGAAACAGCAGGAAACGTTTGGAAATTTGGTTCTGATACCAGAGGGATGGTAAGTTTAGGATTCTTTCATTTTTCAATTATATTTCCACAAATTAAGACCAGAGAAATGTAACTGTTCCCAAAGTACTATGTTAACACGTGTATTTTAAGGACCAGTACACAGAATTAAAGGTAGAGGTGAAAAGACAGTTTTACTGACAAGATGAGATTGACTTTGTATTACCTTTATATAGAAGGAAAAATACATTAGAAAGCTGCAATACCATGAGTGTGATAAGACAGTGGGTTATGGTTACACTTTATATTTGTATTTCACCTTTCTGATGCTTTAATTGTTGAAATGTTGATCTATGTATCCATGTCATATTTGTGATCTCATCCTTGGAGGATAATCTAGAGTCATTCATTATAATCCTAATTTTGTCATTTACATCAAATAATGTATTTACATACATATTAGATAGTTCCGTCTTTCCTTATTTGTGTCTCCGCTTTGAATGTTTCTGCTTCGGTTTTGTCTGGTCACGTCTGAACCCTTGTGTCCTGACCATGGTCTCAGGAGTCTGTCCCTGATCTGGTGGTGCTGGACCAATAAGGGGAAGAACTGGTTCAAAGAAGCATCAGCAACCATCACTGCCCACATGGACCAGGAACCTCGGCCTGCTGCACAGTTTGAGGTGGACGTGGACCTTGGATTTGCTCTCTTTTTCCTCTTTTTGTTGTGTTTCTTCCTGCTGGTCACAGTGGTGCGATGTGCCCAGACTGTGGTGGACCCTTATGGCTCCATCTCCACCTCCACCTACCAGGAGGAACAGATCACTTGAAGCAAAGAAGAATTCCTGCGATATGACTTTGATTGACAAAAACAAATGAAACAAAAATGCAAAAAAAAAAAAAAAAAAAAAACTGTACAAAATGTAGTTTGAATGTTATTTTTGGGTTCTTTGCACTTATATTTATTTGGTGGTCGTCCACTCTGAAAGACTCTGTGCCTGGTGAACAAACCATCAGAGAGATTTCCACTTTATAATGTCAGGCCTAATGGTTGGACCTACTTTTCAACTGATTTCTTCAAAGAACAATTTAAATACAATGGTTTATTGGGACTATCGGTATCATTTTACTGCACCAGAACAGACACATTTAAGATGGATTATAAACTACAAAAATGTCAAGTAATTTGCCATGATTTTTTTTGTAAAGAAGTGAAAAGCTCGAGATACAGGTTATATGCATTAGTTTGTTTTCTTGTATTGCATGAAATTCTGTTAAAATTCAAATGATATGAATACATTGTTGTGCAGGTTAAACTGTATCAGAAAATAAATATTTAAATAAAAATAACCTATATGTGTAGCATTTAATGTTTTTATTAATTCTGTCAAATTTTTAACCTTTTCTCTGAATAACTATATCGTGATATTTATCACGTGAGACAGGATTAAATTCGATGTATTTCTCAAGACTCCAGCTGTTGTATTGCTGTTCAGACATTGGGGGCAGTAATGAGACTGCCAGAACTCTTTGTGCAAACTTCGACAGAAGAAAAAGAATAGGATCCTTGTAGTAGTGATGAGCTAGCGAGTATTTGGCCGTTCGAGACGAGTAAGGGTATTAAATTTGTTTTTTCAAATATTTTGAATTAAGTCATTTATTACAGAACAGTAGTCAGTGACGTCGAGAGACGTTGAATTTGGTGTGTGTATTACGGTATTTATTTCCTATCAGCATCTGAAGCTAACTCCGGTGTGAGTAAATAAAGAAGCTATCAGCAGATAAAGGTACTAAATAAAATGTAATGCATTACAAATGTTGTTTCAGGATGATCTGCGGTGTATATTTAACTTTACAGTGTTTCCCCCCTTAATTTTATTTTATTAACACGATTCCCAATTCCATTTTTGTTTCTGTTCTTCCTTAGCTACATCACTGCTACTGATATGTGTTGGTAAACCTCAAATGTTGTCATCAGTATGGAAGAGGAGGAGATCGAGTTGAGCACGGATGAACTCAGAAATTGGATCAGAGCAAAGATCGAGACGTGTGGGTTGATTTCACCGGATCTGCAGAAGAAGTGCCAGGTGCTGCAGTCGCTGCTGGAGAAGAGGGAGAGACAGGCTGCCAGACTACTGCAGCTGAGCAAGTGAGGCTTCGATTATCCAGTTACTACACTTAAAAATGTTAAAACAAAAGTCCAGGAAATGTAACAGATTTGAGTGCTTTATTTCTGTGTGTGACTGTGAACAGACTGTTGACGATGTTGATGTGTTTCAGATCAGTGATGGCATGCGAGGCAGTTGTGAAGAAGCAGTACTCCTTGTTGGGACTGGAATACACAGATACAGATGATGATGATGACGACAGTAATGAAACCATCTGTGGTAAGTTGCACATCAATGTTAGCCTGGCAAATTGAATCAAACTCATTTCTGTTGGTGTGACTTGTGTTTATGTTTTTAGAACACAGACCTTCAACCTCATATCAACACATTTTACCTGCTGCCTGTGGCCACACGTCCCAGTATCCAAGTCAACGCCACAGTGAGATGGAGGATGAGGCTCAGAACAACAACCAAGAAATGTCAAAGCTCAACATGAGACCGGTGGTGTCAATGGTCAGACTGACTGAACGCCAGATCCATTCCTTCTGTTCTTCATACTCTGGAACGGGTGACAATGACACATTAGGGCTTTCACATTTGGATGAAGACTGGGAACCGTCAGAGAATGTTTGTGATTCTGAAACTCACATGTCAGGATTTAAGACTCTTCCTAAAAAGAAGATAAAATTAGAGCAAATGTCAGGAAAGGAAAAGAAATCTGAAAGCCTTGGAACACAAAAAGCCATTCAGTCTGTTAGCAGAGCTGCAGGGATAGAAGTATTCAACACCAGTGTGCCACACAGTGCTGTGACCAGTGAACCTGGAAATACTGAAGGTAACGTCACATTTAGAACCTTGTTTTATTACTGACTAAAGTTTGGTTAAAGTTCATTAAATGACTAATTTAGATAAGAATACACTGACTAAAGTTTGGCCTCTTTTTTTTTTATCGGACATTAAATGACTAATTTAGATAAGAATAACTGTAGTACAAAACAATCTACAGCCAGTTATCCTGGTGACTAGCCTAAAAAGAAAAGTTAAAATATAAATACTGGATCTTAATTCACTGTCTCACAGCACCTTTACTGTTTGGCATAGTCAACAAAGTCAACCGAGAACAGAATGATTTTTTAAAAACATTTCTTATTTCCGTTTGTCACAGCCACAGAAAGAGCAACTGACGAGACCACAGCGTCCAGCCACCAAGCTGCTGTAACTGACACAGAAACATCTACTGAAATCGCTACTACCAGTGTGAAAGACCAAGCTCTGGAAAAACCAACAAACAAACCTGCTCCTACTGTCACCGTGGAGGCCACCAACTATTCTGCTAATGACCAACCTATTGTGCCGCCACACGGGGTCGCTGTGGAAATGAATGTCATTGCCAGAAGGAAGGGTCTGATCTGGCAAAGAGGCAAACTGTTGGAAATCATAATAAAAGGTAGAACATGTATTCAGCTGCTGGAGCTAAAACACGTGAATCAGCTTGGATGACACTTTTGAAATGACTTCAGGAGTCATTAGTCATTAATCTGTTTGCAGGCCTATATTTCAGATACAAACAGACCTAGATGGGCCTCATTTAGGAAAATATATATCCTGATTCCACGAGTGAATTCCATTTTTTTTTTCTGGAGAAGATTCCAGGACAAAATACAAGGTCCAGTTTGAAGACAGGGGAAAGATGCTTTTGTCTGGTCACCATATCGCCTATGACCACAATCCTCGGGGGGAGAAGCTGTCAGTCGGTGCCCGTGTGGTCATCAGCTCCAAGTGTGAGAGCCCCATCTACTGTCCTGGGGTTTTAGTAGAGGTACCCAGCAGGAAAAACCGAATGAGGTCTGTGTGTTTCTTTTTTTTTCTTAAATAAGTTTACTGACATATTAACAGCATAGAGTCTTTTATGTGTGACTTGACTTTTTATTACTTTCACCAAAATGACTTCTACTTTATTCTCAGGTTCCTGGTTTTTATTGATGATCACACTCCAGTCTATGTTGGCCTGCCACGTTTATACCTGGTGTGTCAACCATGTAAGTTCATTCAGATTTGATGTTAGTTACATTGTTTTACTACTGAGGCTGCTTTGATACAAAAGGAACTAAAACATGATGAGTTTTCTTTATTTCTTGCCGTTGAGATTGAAAACAGTATATGTTATTTGCATAACATTAGTGCCCTAAAAACATTTTTTGCTTTTGTCTTGGTGTGTTTCAGTGACAGACCCGTTTGGGGATGTTGTACATTCCGCTCACAGAGAGTTCCTAGAGGAATACTTGAAGAGTTGGCCGAACCCTCTTCAAACCCATTTTGAAAAGGGAAGGCTCATCAGGGCAGAGTTTGAAGGCGAGATGCAGAAATGTGAGGTGCTGGAAGTCGATTGCAGTTTAATATATGTGATTTTTGAGGTGAGTACATTTTATGACACAAATTTCACAAATCAATTTTCATCCATTTATCCTCTTTATGGTAATTTTTTTGTTCTGCCACTCATGTAGAAAGATCAACACAAGGAGTGGATCTACAGAGGCTCAATGCGGCTGGAACACTTCATTAATATGAGGAACCAGGTGGATTGGGAAAAAAGGAAACGATGTAGAAGTTTAAATCTACCTGACACAGGTATGAATTAATGTACTGTATAATGGTTGACATTGGGTATTACGACATCTTCCTCATCACTGTGTTGTTTTTGTGTATTACAGATTCATGAAGCTTTTGGATTGTGGACATGTTACAAACCCTTTCAGGAGATGTGAATAGAACTATGTATGGAGAATCTGACTGTAATAAAATCAACCAAACCAAAGACTACTTGTTTATTATTGGTATCACATTGTGTTTATACTCATGAAAACCTAAATGTTCTTTCATAAAAATATTCATAGATTTGACCAAATAAGATATGGTTAGAATTACTCATAGCCTTAAAACTCTTTTGTGAAGCTATTCTTAGAAAGGTGCATACACTGTTTTAATTAGTTCTCAGTCCCATAACCTCTGAACTTACAAGCACAAAGCAATTGTAATTTTGTTAAACAAGAGAAACATTTTTAAATGAAGTTATTAGATTAGTAAGAGTTCTGACTTTAAAATCTCTCTGCATATCAGTAATGCACCACATAATGGTGCTGCCCTTGTATCAATGACTTGGTGACCTGAATAGTGGATTCATTTATGCTAATCCATAAATATTACAACTTTTTTAGTTAGATATATGCCTTAAAAATATGTAATATCACTTTTCATGATTATGAAATTACAGCTTACAATGTCCACCTCCAAAGATAAAAGAATCTGTGAAAGGAGTCTCACACAAAACAATATAACACTTTCACAATGTGTACAATACAGTTGACAATGACACCGTAGCATGCATGGCCATGAACAGTGGCTCAAGTGTCCTCACACACCCACATACTGTATCATCTCCACACACCCTCACGCACCCACACCAAAGAAATAATGGTGATAGTAATGACAGAAAACAGAAAGAGTATAGAGAGTTTATTAATAAAACGTTGCAATTAACGTTTTATTAATATATATTATTTCAAGAACATATAAAGATTGTTTAAAGATGTTTATTTCATTGCCTTGACTTTATTGCAGCGACATTAGTGCAATGGTTCTCAAATTATGGTACACATACCAATGGTGGTACTTGGTCTCCCTCTAGTGGTCTGGGGAAGCTGACATTAGAAACTCAAATAATTAAATCTCTTAATTTAATAATTTTTTTGGCACAAATTGTTGTTTTTAGCTCACTCCACAGATTTTCTGTGGGATTAAGGCATATTAATAAAAAGTCACGACTTTGTTTTATGACCCAATGATGTTACTTATACAAGTTTTTTTTAGTATTTATTACACTTGTATGCATGCTAAGTAAAACAATATATAATACAGTTAGTATGTTCTAGCACTTTTATTACAATAACCTTTTCTTAATAAGGTGTGAGTAGCAATTATTTTTATCTTAAATTTAACACAAGTTCCTCTACTTGAATATAACACATTGATAATGTGAAGAGTAGTTAATAAATATGGTTCAAATAGCTTCAATGTTTTAAGTAAACTACTAGCTCACAGACTGTGAGGCGCAGGGAGGCGTTAGCTTCTCTGCTTTGGGGCAGAGCTCGGTTTTCTGTGCAGACAGGCAGAGGGGAAAATCGCTGCAACACAGCGTAACTCTGTTGTGACCAACAGGCCTGTATCGAGAAACAAGTGAGAAAACTGGAACGCCAACACGGATTTCCTGTGGGACAAGCGAACGGGTCTCGCTGCTAGAAGGGTGAAAATGCATGTATTTGGGTTGTTTTCTGTTGCATCTTGACCAAAGTTAGCGCTGCTAACTGTTTAGCTTCTCGAAGAAGGCTCAGACAAGATGGCGGTCAAATTATTTACATCCTGTAATGCTGCTAAAGAACGTGCTAAATGCTAGCTCGTCGATGTGTTGTGTTTTCAAAATTTAAATATACACTTTTAATGAACGTGTGTTAAAAGCAAGTGAATTTCGCGTTTTTACATTTAACTGCCAGGCATTACATTACATTAACAACAGCGAAATGCTAGTGTCGTTGTCTTGTTTAAATTAAACCCGCGACCATCAACTGTATGGCATATACTTCAGTCCTTTTCTTAAACATCTTTTAGATTTGTCAGTATAGTGATAGTATTCTTTTAGTCGTAGTGTGTTTTAGCGTTTTATTTGGATAATACCACAAAGGAGAAAATATCTCCCTAATTTGTTATCTGTTGTTTTGCTGAAAAATCTCCAGGAGTACGTGTACTCTCTGCACAGTTTTTAACGTGAAAGTATTCCTTGAACGCTGTTTAATTTCAGCCTCGTTGCTAAAAATTCATGTCGGGCGCCCGACACAAACATACCAGAAGAAATATGCGTTTACTTTGGCAGCTGTTCTGAATTTCCTATGTATGTATGTACGAGATCCCAGTGCAACTACATGACTTCTTTTTCCAAAACCATAAAAGTCCGTTTTAATTTCCACATAACTGCTTTATTTACTTGAGATCTAGGGCTCCTCCTTAGAGGCCACTATGTTTGATGACCATAGTTTTATGTTGGGCTACAGTAGTGAAACTAAGTACATGTTATGTTTTTCTGAATATTATAGGGTACAAAATGTTCTCGTGCATGTTTAGACAGGTCAGGTAATGTAATGGATATTATGGATGTAGATCTCCTCACCAGTGTTGGTAAACATGTAGATAAATTGTTAGAGCTGCCAAAGTTATGTGGCACTTATTAAATGACTATGTCCAAATATATAATAATTAGTTGTTTTTTGTTAAATCTTAATTTTTGTTGAACTATTGTTTTAGATGCCTCACACGAGACGATACTCGTCGTCGGACAGAGACAGTCGAAGCAGCTTCCAGGACCGTTACAGAGACAAAGACAGCCGGAACAACTACCCTGATCGTTACAGGGACAGAGAGAGAGACAGAGAAAGGGACAGAGGACGAAGATACCGACACAGAAGATCACCAACATTCTCATCCAGCAGTGACAGAGAACGTGACCGAAAGGGGCGGGGACACAGACAGGAAGGAAGCCATGTACGATCGAGGAGGTGTGTCACTAAATAGGAGATTTTTATTTGATGCAGTTACCTGTTTTTAGTAGAGTTTTTACTCACCGATGATGTCATTGCCGTTTCAGTCGTAGTTATGACAATCGTGCGATGGATCATCGACTGTTTGACAGAAGATACTACGAACGCGACCGTGAAAGAGATAGGGAGCCACATGGAGCAACAGAAAGTTACTACCCACGCGACTTCACTCCAAACATGTTCGACTACCGACGAGGTCGCGAAAGGGAGCGTGAGCGGGATGATTCCTACAGACGGAAAGGCAGCAGGCGTAAGCACAAACGAAGGCGGCGTAGAACCAGGTCCTATAGCCCCTCCTCCTCGGTGAGTACACCCAAACTTCAGATTTTTTACCTCTAACTCTCCTCGTCCTCTTCTTCCACCTCTGTCTTTTTCTCTCCTCTTTGTTTGTCTCTGTCTTTTCCTAACCATTTTTTTGTTGACAGCCCCAGGATTGGGTAAGTAGTACAATTTTTTTTTGTCTGTCAGGAGGTTTTTTTTATGTTTCATTTTATGATTTTAACGTGTATTTTCTAAAATTGGCATTTCCTCTTGGTAGAACATTTTCATTTTTATGCAAATATTTTTTCATTATGAATCATGTTGACCTGTGAGAAACTATAGGTTGTGTTTCGACCAATGCTGAAATTTGAAATTGCTCAAAAAACAATTGGTATCAGTTGTGTAACCGACTTAAACCTGATTGCGGATTATTTTAAAAAAGTGGTAATGTTCTACCAAAGATGCTAAATTCAGATTTTAAATGGTTTAACTTTCAGTTAAAACTGAATTTAAAAGTATTTTTGTGTGTTCTATATCTTACCACCCTTTTTATTTCTAGTAAACATTTTAAGTTGGAAATTGGGAGACATTGAGATAGGTTAAATGTTGGGGGTTATCTTTTATATATTTTTCCTGCTTAGTTATATTTTGGTTCTCATTTTTCCCACTTGTTAAGTCTGATAAGTTAAATTTAGTTATAATTATTACAATTTTTTTACAGTCTTAATTGGGTTTGGCGTTGACAAATGGAAATGCCAGTTGCTTCCTTGTTTGTAAGCAGCTTTGGTTTAAGTGTGTGGGTGGGGTTGAAGGAGCAGAGGACAACATGTGATCTTTGACTTGTTCCCTTGCACTATATCCCTATCGTTATATATTTCCTTCACGTGGTGTCATGCGTGAATCGCCCCATGACCACCAAACCCACCTACAACCACAACTACAACCAACACCACCCTCCTCCTCCCTCCTCAACTACTGTGCCGCCCGACGCCGTGGCTCCCTCCCCGAAACTCCCTCTGTTCCCTTTGGTCGTGTCGTGACCTGCTGGTGACGGTTTGGTTGTGAAAACAGCGGAGCGGCAGCCGGACGAGGGCAATGAGTGTGAGGGACGACGAGGAAGGGCACCTGATCTGTCGGAGTGGGGACGTCCTACAAGAGAGATGTACTCACTGCCACTACTCTATCGTAACCCTTCTCCATATGAGTATTAAAGCATAGAGAATTTACATGACATGGGAGTGCCTGATGATGATGATGATCCTTGCTAGAATGCTCTGCGCTCTAATAGCTGTCATAGCAGGGTGGGATGCAAGAAAGTTGAAAACTGTAGAAGGGACTTTTAGAAACCTTCCCCCTTTTTGTTGCAGGAATTAACATTGTGGAGCATTTTCTGTGTTTCACATGTTGATTAACCTAAACATAGAACCCAGTTTGCAGATGTTTGTCCCTAATGTGTTTTCATCCAAGATTAAGAATTAGTGTAGAATTTGTACCAGCCACAGAGGAATCTAACACTCACACAGCCTTTTCCATACCATAGTTTCCAGCATAAAAACAGTATGTTTCCGTGTGACCATGCATTGTGAATAGATGTATTCCCCATTATTATTATTTCAAGTTTTTATCCTTTTTGTCCAATAGGACAACAACCACATTAGTGTTTACTTAAATTTTTCTCCTCAGCACAGGTCCATGCTTAACATAGATAGTCTGCAGTTGTTCAGATTTGAGTAGACAGCCTTTTGAAAAAGGCCACTGGCTAGTATGACGACGCCTGTCTTTACTTCTGTGAAGAATGTGCTTTTGATCAAGTTCACAAAGTCTAAGGCTCCTGTTCCCTCTTTCCCCACTCTCCCTTTCTTTTCCACTTTTCTTTTTTGTGTTGCAGATGAAATTGTCAGCACTTTGGGAGAAGGCACCTTTGGGAGGGTGATGCAATGCATTGACCATCGCAGGTGAGACTCCTTTTTCTTTGGAGCTTTTTGGGTCTATGGTGAAGGCTGAAGGTTACAAACCTGTTTATTCTGTGTCTAAATTATGTGAATAAATCCTTACATAAATACATCTCGCACATACCTGTATGTATGAAGGGTTCTAGGTTCATTGTCCAGTTGAAAAAAATGGGAGGTTCATACAGTTTCATTTATGTTTTTGTTTCACTATCTCTTACAGGGGAGGAGCTCATGTTGCTTTGAAAATCATCAAAAATGTGGAGAAGTACAAAGAAGCAGCTCGCCTGGAGATCAATGTTCTGGAGAAGATCAACGAGAAGGATCCTGACAACAAATTGTGAGTGTTCTTTTGTACTTGGTTCATTAAAAATGTTCAATTCTCTTTGCTGCTTTTGCTTCTAGTAAGGAGTGTTCTTAAATATTTAGATATTTATATTTCAGATCAAATCTAACATATAAATATGTGCAAAACAGTGTGACTAATCCATGTTGAATGATGTACTGTTTACCATTCTTTTGTGTCACTTTGCAGCCTGTGTGTACAAATGTACGACTGGTTTGACTACCACGGTCACATGTGCATCTCCTTTGAGCTGCTTGCTCTCAGCACCTTTGACTTTCTGAAAGAAAACAACTACCTGCCCTACTCCATTGGGCAGGTCAGACACATGGCCTACCAAATCTGCCTGGCTGTGAAGTGTAAGTTTTCACTTTCTCTGGCCTAATGTTGGCCATGAAGGATTCATTAGAGAATATAAATAGAAAATAGCTACAATAGTTAAAAGTTTGAGTTGTTACAGTGGATACCACAGCTCTGCTGTGAGGTATTTATTCAAGCATGAAAAGGCATGACAAGAATAACATTGTTGAAATTTGTTCTTATATTTATCCAGTTGTCATTTGTGTAAAGATTTTGACCATTATTTCTTAAATGCTCTGTGGTCTGTAGTATTTAGTATTAAGTGCTATTTGTTACTATCTTGGAGATGTTACCCCTCTCTTCAACCTCAGCATCTTCAATTCTTATTTAAAGTTGTGAGACCCTGGAATTTAACCTCTGTGATATGCAGGGAGTCCTTGAGCTCCTCCAAGGTTTGACGGAACCTGTCATTAATACTTAGCTGTACACAGCTCCAATTTGCTGTCTACACTCCAGGCCACATGTCACAGAGGTTTAGTCCAAGTTAGTACAATGAAGAACATAGTTTAGTGTTAAAATTAAAAAACTAAACAAGCAACATTTTTCTCTGCAGTCCTTCATGACAATAAGCTGACACACACAGACCTGAAGCCTGAGAACATCCTGTTTGTCAACTCTGACTTTACCATGTCCTACAATGTAGAAAAGGTAACAGCTGATAGAATCATAAATTCATGCAGGTCAATATAATGGTAGTTGATTGACTAAAGTAATGTGTGTTTCCTCTTTGCAGAAACGAGAAGAACGGACGGTAAAAAGCACATCAGTGCGCGTCGTGGACTTTGGCAGCGCCACTTTTGACCACGAGCACCACAGCACCATCGTGTCCACGCGGCATTACCGTGCCCCTGAGGTCATACTGGGTGAGAATGACTATAGGCTGTTGTTGGTCCAGATGGTTAATGATCAGATTCAGCTTCTCGCTGTGAAGACACGATTTGTCTCCACCCTCATCATCCGTCCTTGTTTGACCACATACTTCTAGAACTCGGATGGAGTCACCCATGTGATGTGTGGAGCATCGGCTGTATCCTGTTTGAGTACTACCTGGGCTTCACCTTGTTCCAGGTATTACAGTATTCCCTATAATTAAGTATAATAAACACAGACGTAAAATCATATTTTTGAAATAATGTGCTGTTTTATCCAAGCCAGAAATAAACATCTAGTTTTTCATCTTAGAAAAAGAAGTCTAAAGAAAAAACTGTGTCCTACTTTCAGACTCATGACAACCGGGAGCACCTGGCCATGATGGAGAGAATCCTCGGACCTGTGCCGTCCAGAATGATACGAAAGACGAGGTGAGAGAAGATAAAAACTGCCATTGTTATTGTGTCTTGATGTTGAAATCCTCAAGTGAACCACTGTCTGCTGTCTTCACTGATTTCTCTGCATTTTCAGAAAGCAGAAGTATTTCTACCGCGGTCGTCTGGACTGGGACGATTCGCCCTCAGTGACTATGTTCTTGTAACAGGAAAATACGTCAGAGAAAACTGCAAACCTCTGCGGGTAAAAGGAGAAAAGGGTCTTTGATTTGTGCAGCAGTTGTTTCTAGTCATACTAAAAAAATAAAACAATTTCCTTTTTGTCTTTCCTGTAGCGGTATCTGTTGTCAGAAGCAGAGGAGCACCACCAGCTGTTTGACCTCATTGAAAGCATGTTGGAGTATGAGCCGTCTAAAAGGCTCCTGCTGGCCGACTCCCTCAAACATCCTTTCTTTGAGAACGGAGGTGTGGGCGAGGCCTCGGGTAGCAAGAACTGGGAAGGCAATAGAGACATCAGCCGGTGACCCGCGAACCTCCAGAGACTTAGACACAGATGATCATGGTTTATATGTGCTATAGGTGAATGAACAGCAGCTGTTGACATTTTTCTGTCGTTAAACATTAAAAGCATGGACACGCTCACTTTTTCGGCCCTCGGTCCTGCCCTCGACCTCCACCTCTGCAGCCTCAAGGCATGTTTTATCCTCCGCAGAGATCGAAAGTTGCCAGAAAGAATTATGAGTTATGTTGTTCTGGCCCCAGAAAAATAGTTCTAGTTGAAGGAAGCGTTGTGTGCAGCTCCTGTCTTCCCTCCTCATCCGTCCATCTGTCAACCTCAGCAGCATGTAACGAACAAAACATCTCCACTGTCAGAGGAAACAGTTCCTCCTGCAGACAGTTCCTGGAGAAGATGTCTTCCTAATGTGACCTACAGTAGCCGGGGTTAAAGAGTTGGAGTTGTGAATGCAGCTCAGATCTTCACCGTCATGAAAGTTGGACACGTAACACCGATCATCAGCCGAATCTCCAGCAGAGGCCAGTGTCTCAAGTTTTTGGTTAATGGGTGAGTGCTCACACTGTGTATGAATTGTTCGTGTTTTTGCTTTTTTTCTTCATGTACAGTATAAAAAATATCCCAGTGTGGATGTGGTTTATATCCACTGAGAATATGCCAACGAGATGATGAAAGTGATTGGCATTGAAATTCAAAAACCTAGGCTTTTTTTAATTTAAAAAAATGCCTTTCTTATCAATAGCTATATCTGTTTACGTTACACAAATGTTTCTGGTTGTGTGTGTGTTTCTGGTCTGGGAATGAGTGTGTGTAGGTGTGTATGGATGATGTCCTTTTTTGCTTTTTATTGTTTTTGGATAAACAGAAAACACACACACAACACAACTGCCTTTATCTGATTGTGATATTGGTTGATTTAATGTAACCTTTTACAGTTAAGCACACAGCTCCTCCAGGAACCAGCAAGCCACACACACACACACACACACACTCCTGTTGATATATTTATTTCATTATGCAGTTCATGTGTTTACCACTCCCCATCTGTAAATGACATGTTTTTGTATGAAACTAAAGCGTATAAAAGTGTATATATGTACGATTGTGTAGAATAAAGTTAAAAGTCCTCCTGACCAGTGTATCAGTCTGAGCCTGTGCTGGGTAAGAGGCCGTGCTTGTCTTTAAATACTGCTGCTGTGTCTGTGTCCATGTCTGACATTGCTGACTAATTATATCACAGCTCTGTGGTTTCAGGAAAGATCAGACGGGCGGCTGAAAGGCAGCTGTGAAGACGATCATCGCGATTGGTGAAGCTGAAAAGGATTGATTTTTCTGACACAGTTGAAAAATTTTTACATTACAGTTAGAATTTTTGTGTGAAAATAATAAGAACATGGATATTCGTGACACTTAAAATGTGTCATAAAGTCATTGTGTATAACAATGAGCCAGCTGTAATGTCTTTATAAAGTTGGTTTCTAAAATAGTGAAGAAACTGCAGCAATTTTCAGTTTGCAAGTAAAAATGCTCACAACACCGAGCAGAGATTTGAGGATAATACTGTGAAAATGGGGTGTGAGTTAAAAGTAGTCAGTAGAACAACAACCTGTTTACGTAGTTATATTCCCTCATATCAGGTGTGAGTCAGTAGAAAAACAACGTAGTTATATTGTTATATATGTTTACGTAGTTATATTCCCTCATATCACACCATTATTATTATGATTAGGTTTTCCTGATATTAATATCTTCTTGTACATTTTGTTATACTCTCTACCTTCGAACACACTTAGTCTAGAACCACACAAACACACACACACACATGCGCTCTAAACCTGAGCTCAGCTGTTACTGTGTCAGGACAGGACCAGAGGAGAAACAGTGGATCTGCTGCTGCAGCTGCTCCCATGATTCTTCACACATGCCTCTCCATCTGTCACTCACAGACCTGCTGAGCTTTAGTCCATGGACTTGTTTTACCTTAACTCACTGTCTGTGAGCAGTCGGTACAGTCTATTTCATTGTTGAATTCAGTGTTTGTTTTTGAATTTGCTGAAGGTCTTTTTTGTGTTGATCAGTGGAATCAGGCCTAGAAATAGTGTTCAACATTGAAAGTCATGTCAATTTACTTCACAGATTATCTAAAAAGGTCTTGAAATGTAGCCTACCTATGACACAAAATAAAGAATATATACATTAGGAAGTAAATCCCGGGCCACATGAACACCAGACTTCAGACATGCCTCCAACAGTTGGCTGTAATTGTTCAATCATATTGGAGAAACCACACACTATTGATCCCGGAAGCTTTAAGTCAATGGACCAGTGGATGGAATGAGTCACTTAGAGGTTTTAGTCAATGAAGCTGCAGGAAATGCTTAACTGCTTAACCAACCTGTCCATCTGTGCAGATTTGTATCATGCCAGGTTGTGTTTTTTACTGAAACAAAGGGATAAACACATTCTACATGTTTTAGTGTTGATATGAGAACAAAATCAGATGGAGATTAATTTTTTTTTTCTCCCATGTCAAAGTGGTTCGTTTCCTGATACACGAAAAACATCAACAAATCCTTGACGAAGGCCTGATGCTAAAACGTGACGTCTGAGAGACGTGCCTGAGTATGTTTTGGATTTGATACGATTAAAATCAGACACTTTTTGAAATAACATCCATCATGGAACTTTTTGACTCAGTTAACACTGACCTTGTATGTTTTTTTTCCGGTGGTCAGGTGTTTGTCTCTGCTGTTCTGTTAATCAGATAAACAAGGCTTGCGTCTGATGCTAATCCTGTTTGTGGAGCACTGAGGTCATTGGTCAAATCCCCGTAAGATCAGACTGTGACACAGCGAAGGTTCCAACACCAGGACATGACGAGAACGGCTCCAACAACAACAGACACCGTTTGACAGTAAGTCCATTCAATGGTATGGTTTATGACTAGAATTGAGTTCTTCTGCACTGTTGTTCTTATGTTAATGTGTTTGTTTTTTCTTTTGTAAATAGGAACATAATTCCCTGCAAGCTGCCGGAGAAATTAGGAAAATAATACAAGTCTGAAAATGGATTCCTTCCTATCTCTGGGCGCTCCATTGAAGCACTTCACCAGCTGGGTTTCAACCAACAAAGCTCCCAGAAAAAGAGGAGCCAAGAAGAGCCAGTCTGTACGCAGGAGTAGCTTCACTCGCAGGAGGAGCGTGAGTAGGAGGAGAAGTCTCCCCTGCAGTGGCCAGAAAGTCCCAGACTCCTGGCTCAGAGTTTATCAGGAGGAGCTGAAGAGAGAACGGTTCGTAGTAGTAGAGTTAGTTTCTACTTTGAATGAGCAGCATTTCCATCTGCTGTGGCTCAGGTTGTTTGTTATTTTCTTTTGTTGAAGGAAGAGACAACAGGCTCTGGTGGCCAAAAAGAACAGTGAGAAGACTGTGAGAAAACTGAACTTCAGGTCCCACCACTGCCTGCCGAGAGTGAGTCAAGTAAGGTCAATTCAATGTCACATAAAGACTCTGAGCAGTTCATGGTTAAATACATTCACCATGGGTTTATCTGGGTTTGGCCTAAGGAACTATGATCCTTACTTCAACCAGTAATTATTTTTTTGTGTTTTATGTAGATGCATTTATAAATAGTGGAAAGATGCATTGTGTCAATAAAATTAAACCAAGCACTCAACCTTGGGGAACCCCAAAAATTAAACTACAATATCAATAATTCAAATCTATAATATAATTACAACTTGGACTAAAGTCTAAACAAATCCAGGATGTCTGATCCTCTATATAATCATAGGCTTTAATTTTTATTAAACCTTGGTATATTGGATCTAATTGACAGTAACTAGTGGATAATGTGTCTATTTTTTTTGTTTGTTTGTTTTACTTTCATCATCCTCCATTTATCTTCACTGTAACCAGTAACTCTCCCTCTGTTCTCGGGAGCATTATTTTTTGCTGCCTTCACGTACTTCAAACTCTACATTACCTTCAAACTACCCACCCACTCCTATATATACACTACAGACCTTACGTTTGGCATAGTTGTTAAACCGGACTTCCACTGGAGGGCAGTAATAAGTCAAAGTTGATTTCAGTACTGTGTTTGTTAATTAAATTGCGCACTAAATAATACTAAAGAACGTTAATTATATGAAATATTTATATTACGTAAATAAAACCAGAGTTCTGTTTCAGTTTTGAGCAGGTTTGTCTTCTTTTCCCTGTTTCTTCACCACCAGAGCTCCACAACCAGGAAACCAGCCCCAACTAAGGATGATTCCTTCTTTAGAACCTTCCAGGGCCTCAGTCTGCACGAACTGATAGGAGGAACTAATGCACCGCCCGCTACTACTTCTGCTGTAGGAGGAGATCAGTGCAAAGTCATGTGACACCATTTCAGGACAGGCGGGCTTTCCATATTGTCTCTGTGAAGTGCTCTTAGTCAAAACTGAAGCAAAATGAAGGATGAACTGGCTTTGATGTGTAGTAAATGCAGGGTTTTCAGTGTGTATTTGGTCTTATGTTGGTCTAGATTCTAAAAATATGTTCAAGATGAAATCATTTTGAAGCCAAAGCAAAAACGTAGCAGAGAAATGATTTTTTTTATTGAGTCCAAACAAAATTATAAATTCTGCTTGGTGTCGATACTATGACTGCGTGTCGTTAAAACACACAAAACTACATGAGTATGACCGTGCACGACAGAAAAGAACACAGGAAAGAAATATTGGTAACAGTGACATTAGAATTTAAAGCAGACTGATCTGAATAGTTCAATTTCCCGAGGGTCTGGTCTGTTTGTTTCTTCGATCAACCAGATTTGGGGCTCAGTTTTTGAAGAATGACTTGTTTAAACCAAACTTTATTTAAAAAAAACAACAACAACAAATAATGAAATCCTTATCAGTTAAAGAAATAGAAAATCTGTGGTTGATCTTTCGTACATGGGTTCAGATCACAAATACAGTATGTACATTAGAAAACCAGGTACAAAACTACCATCAGCGCCCCCATGCCACTACACACTTAAATGCAGACAATGAGGTGAAGATATGCAGGGTTTTTGTTTTAATAATTGATGAGCCTAATGTAGAAAAGTCCAATTTTAAACAATTATTCCCTCTGTTCCATCTTGACTTTCGGAGGCTTGAGGAACGTTCTGTTCTTCTTCTCCTTGGCCTTGCCTTTGCCTTTGGCCTGGAAGCTCCTCCAGCTGTCCACACGCCCGTCTCTTGTTTCCTGCGACAAATAAATATTTGTAAATTATAGAGCCCAAAAGTTTAATATAGAAAATGAATAGATGGGTGAGAAAGGCACCTCAAAGTTCTTCTGCCATTCCCTGTCTCGCTTAGCTTTCTCAGCCGTCTCGATTTCCTCTTCTCGTGCCCTTTTCCTAGGTAATGGTAGGAAAAAAACTTTTTGGAAAATCTGATAAAAACGATAGATGTAGTTGTCACGTTTAGATCCTAAGAAAAACCCAAAAAAGACCTTTCATGCATATCCTTTGCTTCCCTTTCCTTCCTCTTGATTTCTAGCTCTGCGAACAGCTTCATGGTTTGTTTATACACTGCCTGCCTAAACTGAAAAGATTGAGGAGTTAGATTTGCTCTCACATTAACTGGCCACATTGAGCAGAATCATTTTCATAATATAAAAAATAATATTGTTATCAGTTAAGTTACATTTTTCTAGTAATATTTTTTTATTTAATTACTTACTACTTCAGGGTCATCCTCCTCCACATCCTGTGGCTTCCCATCTTTCTTTAACTGTTTCTTTTTCTCCTTTACCTTTATATGAAGTTACAGAGGAAGAAAATGTCTCACAGACTCCAAGAAAAGTAAGGCAGAAAAATGATTGACATAAAACCACATTATCACACACCATGTGCTCCACGTATTCCTTTCCTGCATGAATGACATCTATAATTCTCTTCTTCTGCTCTTGATCCAGTAAGAGTTTGTAGGCTTTGTCCACAGCTACAACACAGTATCACTTTCAGAAAGTATCAAACTTAGTCTGCACTGGCTAAGGACAAGGAGTGAACAAAGAATAAAGCCTAAACGTACAAATTGATCATTAACAAAAGTGGCCACACAGCATTTAGTCCATTACCTTCGAAAGCCAGCTGTGCTCTGTCTGGGTCGTCCTGGTTTTTGTCTGGATGGACCAAAATAGACAACTACAGTTGAAGAGGGAGAGACAGATGATTAGCATGGTCGTAAGACTCATTAGTACAACGATGGCTAACAGCACAGAAATCTTTTTTTTTTAACCTGCTGTTTGGCTTACCGCTCGGAATCTTTTCTTCAATTCATTATCTGTAGCATCTGGGTCAATTTGCAAGACCTAGGACATATGAAATATTGTGTACATTATCTTTTTATGTAAACAATCCTATAGTCTAAGTGGTTAAATTTACCTCAAATGGGTTTAGATTGAAATATGAGGAACCAGGTCGGAGCAACCGGTCAATCTGCTGCTTCGAAGTTAGCACAGAGTCTCTTTTTTCAATCTGTTTCACCTGGTAGGAAAAACAAGCACAAACAAACAAACAAAAAAAAGAGAGAGAACAGATTAAAAACAGGAACTGTTTTTTTTTTTCATGTATAAGAAACTAATCACTATTTTTATGGCGCAGATGTCTCAGTTCTGTTAGTGAGCATTCGGGAGACAGCGACATAAACGAACGTACAGTGACACTGCTCAGACACCAACCAGCCCTCTCATTTCTTTTTTTAAGATGAGACCATTTTAAGATGTGTGAAACAGCGCCCCTCTAAATGTTAAGTGGGCAATGAGCGTTGGAAACATGCTACTGCAGGCTGGACTGGCTTCCCTTGGTGGAAACAAGGTATGATTAACCAATCAGGTGAGGCTATTATCGTGACACTGCTCTCCTGTGATTAGTCAGGACAGTGTCAAGGGAAGCGGCGAACTCGAATAGCAGTGTGGCATTAACGTCATTGTCGTTATTAGTTATAAGACTTGATTTGTTTCGGTAACTTGGAAGGCTAGAAAAATAAGAAAAAAGAAAATTAATTTACTAAACTACCGCCACAGCAACTCCAAATTACGTCAGACGAGAGGCAAACACCAAAACTAGAGCTCCGTACTAAGAGGAAGAACCGTTTCAATGAGGAGAATTACGTCCGAGTGGCTAGCTGGTAGCTCGAAACTTCTGGGGCTATTTTCTCGCACTGTCTCCATTTTGACAAGGGTCCCTGCTCTCTAAACAACACCTAGGCTACCAGCACATTATTCACCGAACTTCCAACCTGCCTCGGCCAACTGAAAAGCCCGGGAAATCAAAAAAGCACATTGACTGCTGTGAAACGGAAGTTGGCCAAGATATCCATTGACTGTTGTTGTGGAGGACCCAAAGTCCAGTGGGAAGTTGTACGACATGATCCCTGTCATATTGACGGCCTTCCTCTTCAAATAGGGTGAGCATACAGCATTTCTTTCTATGTTCTTTCTATGCTTAATAGTTACTGAATTACCCAATTGGCAATGTGTGTTATATTTGATGTTGTGACTATAGTCCTTATTGTGTATATCTTGCATGATTAAGCAACACATGAGTTCACTGAAGTTGTGGTTTATTGTTGTTGTTGATGTGGAGTGACGGCCCGAGCTGTCTGGACACTTCCACCTTTCAGGTGTGCTGTTTATAGCCACTGGTACTGGGTTGTTGTGTTGCTGTATAATGAACATTAACAATATTATTATATATGTAAATGATGAGGTAAAGTAAAAGCATTTGTGTATCTCACATAGAGCGTGACGTGGACGTCAAACTTAACGGCTTCTGTTTGAGTGTGTTGGATTCGCATCTTTCCAGTATCAAATGTGTGCTGTGTATTTAATATATGGTTGTGTTTTTGGGAGGGTGGTTGCATCAATTGAGTTTGTTTGTGTGTGTATTTTGAGTAACTCAGGGAGAGAGAGCGCATCGGTGCTCAAGTGTCGGTTAAATGAAAAACGTATGTAAGCCCTGGTAAAATGATGCTGGGCGCTGTAGTAGTACATCCGTAGTATCTGTAGTAGACTACCTGGAATAGCAACATAACCATTGTAATATACGAATTTCTGCCCCTATCTCTGAAAAAGATACACAGCTTAGAGATTTTGTCTGACTTAAGCTTTCTCGGAAATTTTCCTCACGTTACGCCACTGTTTATTAATGACAATTAACGACGTGACCTACAGATCATGTACTCGTTTGTGCTAAAAACATGCAGCTCCTCCAACGTTAGCATACTGTGGACAGCTGACATTCGCGACTCTGAAGCTTCGCAGACGATCATCGAGTGCACCGGAGCGTATCAGACACGGACTAGCGTGTATATACACCACTAACAACCACAAACTCAAACAACACTGGCCATACCTCCGTGTAAAAGCTTTGAAATAAGTCATCTGAGGCGTTCTGTGAAGACTCTCCTCCGGCGGCCGCCATCTTGACCAAGCTTTACGTGTGACGCGCTACCGGCACGTGACCATTTGACCAAAATTGACGTAAAAGCGTTTCAGCTGCTAAAAGATGGAATTATTGTATCTAAAACGACGCTGTCTGTAAATAAATAAAATAGACATTTCCATATAAAAAGGCACACCTTACAAAGTCATTAACTTATAATTCACAAGAGCTGTATCAGGTTTTACTATAAAAATATGATTTTATTTTGACGTGAAATGACAGGAAGTTAACGCGAATTGACTTCCGCGATCACGCAAGTACCGCGCGTTTTCAGTCATATTCCCGTCACGTCCACGTAAGTGATGTGTACAATGACTTTGCAAGACAGATTGTAAATATATACCGACATATAATGGTCTGTATTCCAAACAGCAACTATAGTACTTAAATTCTAAACATTTCCCCCTAACAAAACCCATACAGTACAAAAAATGACGTGTGCAGTAGATGAGGCTGATGCTGGCTCATAATTAACCCTCTGATTCAACCACCAGCCATCATAACACCTAATACATGGCCCATCCTGATGTTTGCTACCATTTCTAACTAGTTTTACATTCCCCTACTTAAATTCACATGTAAGTAACATTATAAAGGCTTAGGCAACACAATGTGGCACACAAACAATGGTTTACTGGTGAAATAAATTATATTTTATATTCAAGTAAAGGGCAGTTTTCAGTTACAGTAATGATTCTCTGTAGACGCCCAAGTCTCCTAGATGACTGGCCAGAATATCGATCTGCAGCATCCTGAAAAATAAAAATTACACATTAGACTACCGATCGTTTTAGCCTTAAAGTATTAATACTAATATTGTTAGATCCCTTCTGCCACTTACAAAAAGGTTATGGAAGACTTTACGTCCACCTAAGAGACCTACCAAGTAATCTTTTGACTTACCAAAGACTTATTTAATGTTTCTAACCCTGGCAAAAAAGACTGCCACCACTCACACTCCTTACCTCTGTCACCAAGACTGCAGCTTGAGTTTTTGCATGTGCAGATATTGACTGTCACACGCCCCGAGGTGTATTTGATCACAGTGATCGGTCTTATGTGCACTTTGTGGAATATCTTCATCAGCCTTTTCGCTAGACGAGAACACAAAAGATGCATTAGCAAATCTTAGTAGTTTCCTACCTGTCAGAATGTAACAGGTTTAACATAGTTAAAAATAATGTGTCAATTTAGGAAAATTCCCCCAATTGCTTAAAAAAGGGAAAAAACCCCCCACAGGACTTACTCAGAAGAAGTGAAAGGAGAAAAAAATTGCGACATCAAACATTTGTTTCAAAATGTAACAAAAACACAAACATTCTTACCAATCATTGCATTCCATTAGTGTGAACTCATTCACATGGGTGGGGACAGCTCCTTTACTGCCTGCTGACAAGAGGCAACATATAAAGACAGTTCGGACATGACAAGAAAAATTCAAAATGCTTCAGTACATTATGGCATTTCATTAACAATCTTTTGCACAGTATAAATAGTTGTTATAATAACTATTATTTAAGTCTTACCTGTGAAACCTAAACAATGTAATTTCCTTTACCGACACCTAGTGGAGTTCTCTAGTATGTGCATTTTTGATGCGTGTCCTTTGTTCCGAAATGAGTCAATTAAAACATAATTTAAGACAGTGATCCCATTGAATCAACCCGAAACTTTGAGAGCGACGTTCGATTTTATTAGTTGCCTATAAATAACATATTTTAAGATTAGAAAATTACGAAATAGACGCTGCAACATGTACAGGGAAAAAAAGCCCCAGTGCAACTCGGCAACTGCTACCTCTAGTGGCGAAAACGTGGAAAGGTCCACCCCAACCCTTACAGTCACACATCTGTGCAGTCGACTAAGAAAAAGCAGGTGCTTGCTCAGTTTTTAGTACCTTGTTCTTAGTGCTGGCATATCTTCTTTCCTGGTGTTAAAATCAAAGTAAGCACCAGTGATTGGCTTTAAAATAAAATGTAGTTAATGTTTGTGTGTACTTCAGACACTGTGTTGAAATGATTTTTGATATTTTGATTGTCTTAGTCATCCTTTACAAATTAAAAAAAGAAAAGAATTCCACCAAAATTAAAAATCCCAATTTTCAGTATTTTACATTAGTGGCTAAGGACAAATAACCAACTACTTTTTCCAGAAGTTACAATTATTGCAGGTAGAGGAGAGGAGACAGTACTCTGTACAAGGCTAGCTCACCCTTGAGTACCGTTCAGGTGAGTTCCTCATTCTAGTGGTGCCGCCCTCAATGCTTCTCCACCTAGGCAAGTTGGAATAAGAGGACAGACACATGAAACAAAATGCAATGATGGCACAAACAGGCAGTTGCTATAAAAGAGCAGGTGAATATACCAGCAAAAAAACACTTCAGTTCAGAGATTCCTTATAGAAATCTATTTAAATTTGCTGCTCTAACTGATATAACGTGTCAATATAACAATGTTGTGAGTGTAGGAAACACCTCACCAGTGTCCAAGATTGTCCTTCATTATTAGGTTAACGTGGACAGATGTACAACGGTTATAGATCAGTAAGTATGTGTATTAAGAACCTCATTATTAACCACAAATGCATAGTTAGTGCAAAAGCACCAAAGAAGTAATAATGAAGTATACTGCTGTCATATGAGTACTAGGGCTGTCAAAAACTGTGATAATTCTTTTTTGAAATTTAGATTAAAATTTTTAACCCATTCTAAAGCATATGCAGAATAATGTGCACAGCATGTCTAATAATTCCACCGTCCACCTGCATATTCTTTCTCTAAAACACAACCAATAGAAATGTTATTTACATAAGCATCCTGAACTTCAACACTATCTCCAGTTATCACCCTATGGTCAGACACCCAGCCTTACTGAGCAAAGGGCAATAAGTTGACACACTGACTTAACCAGTCACTGACCAGCTGAAACACACAAATCCACCTGCTGTTATTAATTTGGACACTGGATTGATCCCAATAAATCATGATTAATTGGGATCAATTCACAGCTACTGTGTGATTAATCAGAATCTAAAATTATCTTTTGACAGCCCTGAGTACTACACTACAATCCTGTGGAATATTTGTAATTAACATGGTAAAATTTCCAAACTTATAATCAGCAAAAACATTTTCTTTATTGTTTTCCAATGACAAAAAACATGTTTGACTGATTTTGATTGGACATTGATAATGAATGAGGTGAAGTTTACAGTATGCTTAAGCAATTTGTTCTTCTCTCACTAAATATGAAAAAAACAACACTTGAGTGAAGCAGTTTAAAGACAGGCACAATCTTGGGCAATGGTAAGAAGTTACCTTCTTTTTTTAAAGTCTATCGTCATAATGCGCTTTCAAGAATTTAACTGCAGGAAATGCTGAAAAACAAAGGGTTAGAATCCTGTGATCCATGTACTGTCGCAACACCTTTTAGTTCTCTCAATGCTCTGGTCCGGCTTTTTGCAATTTCAGTCTTTAGTGATTTCTTCTGAGGCAGAATTTGACAATTCACTTGGAGAAGTTCATCCAAATGTGAGAATTGAAGTCAAAATCAAATCAAATACTGAATGACAACACTTAATTTGAGTATCTTGACAATTGGCTGATGCTCAGCTGAGTTTTATTGAAACGGAACAAACGTAAAAGTTATAAATACAAAGACCATCAGAGACAAACTGCTATGGCTCTTAAGGTAAGCCAAACCAAATTCTATTGGGAAAAGTTTGAAGAGAACATATGAAGTTATGATATCAGTTTAAAAAAAACACAATTTTTGTCTACCTCTAGAAATGCTAGGCATACACATTACAAAATGTCTTCCTTCCTGTGGATTCTTTTCTCCACTGCTGCAAAAAATGAAGTATGAAGCACTAACCATATGCATTTATTTACAAGCAAGTCCCTAAGCAACTATGATAAACCACAAATAAAGGGAGTACAAGAAGGAGAGGGGGAGGGAAGGGGTATGGACAAAAACCTTCTGCAAGGCAAGGTCAGTATTTAATGTCCTCTCAGACTTTTGAGAATGAATGTCCACTTTTTTTTTTTTGGAAATGTTCATGGATTGCTTAAAAGAATCAGGAACAAAAAGTAACAATAAAAGTGTTTAGTGTTTTTTTTTTTTTTAAAGACACATGTCCTAATGTAACCGTAGGAGTAACAAATGATTCACCACAACGGTTACGTTCATTTCTTCAGCCAAAAGGCTTTCCAGCCAATCATCTCGAGCCAATTCTGGGATCTGTCCATTTGAGTGAGAGATATATACAGACTTATCAAGATGAAGAATAAAAAGTGATTCAAAAATTGTTGCCAATCCTGCTTTTTTTTTGTTTTTGTTTTTTTTTTCACATTGCCAAATACCTTTTGGTGCATCTACTTCCACTGCTGCCCATAAGAATCTTGTGAAAACTCCATGGTGTCATTACTGTAACCATAGTTACCGGAATAGTCGGCCCCCTGCTGTAGAGGCTGCTGGGCGATGGGCTGGGATCCCCAATTCTGTTGGTTGTTGGTCTGGCGGCGCTTGGAGTCAGGCTGGTTGAACACATCTGCCTTCCTTTTCCCACCAACATTTCCTCCACGGTTGCCTCTGGCTCCACGAGGACCACGGCCCCTCTGTGGCTGGAAGGGGGCTCCTCGGCCACCTCTGCCTCCTCTTGGACCACCAATGGGTGGCCCTCTCTGGGGGTACCCTCCACGGCCACGTGCGGGTGGTGCTCCACGGGACCTTGGTGGAGGTGGGCCACCCCTGGCGGGGCGGGTACCACGGCCCCTCATGCTGTACACATCTTCATAGCCATAATAAGGGTCTTCATAGCCGCCGCGGTAGTCATGATAGTCGTAGCCATAGTAATCGTCATAGTAGTCTTCATAACCATAGTAATCTGGCGGGTAGGCATAACCCCCTCTGCCACCACGACCCCTTCCTCGGCCTGGTGGTGGCATGCGTGGTGGTGGGTAGTAGTAGTAATCATCAAATCTGCAGAAAGTGGTAAAACAGTATTCATCCATCGTTTGTTTTAATGGTTAGGGTCATGCAGTTGACCGGCAGAGTGTATACGTCTAGCTCACCCTGTGTTCCTGGTCGTCTGCCGAGCAGCTTGGCGCTCTTTCCGTTTCTTGTCTGGGGGCTTTGCCAAAACAATTTCAATTTCCTCTCCTCCTAGCTCCTTCCCGTTCATTTCATCCATAGCCTTAATATTTATAAAGAAAAAACATAATGTTACAATGGTGCAAAAGTAATGCTAAAAGAAGAAACGCCATTATTTTATAGACCATGTGTATTATAGTCCTGTGAGGGAGAAGGCTCTGTCTTCTTTTGTCAATAACGTCTCAACAAAACCTTTGACTTTAGTTATGGCCTCAAACTTTTTTTTGAATATTATATAGCAACACAGTCTCACCTTCACAGCAGCATCCCTGTCTTCAAAATGAACAAAAGCATAATCTTTGAGTTTCTTTACTCTCTCCAGTTTTCCAAACTGAGAGAAGGTCTTTTCCAAAAGCTCTTCTGTCACTGCTGTGGCCAGCTTCCTAACAAAGAGGACCTTTACCTAAAAAAAACAAACAAAAAAAGATACAGACCCAATGCAGAGAATGCAGTATTGTGGCCGGTAGAGAAGAGAAAAAAAATAACAGGACAAAACTTGTCAACCTTGGCCATGACTTCTGGGTCTGGTTCAGCAACAGGGTCAGCCCACTCCACAGTGACCGGGTTCCCCCACACCTTTATCTTGCCACTCATTAAGCGGCGGCGGGCCTGTGCTGCTGACTTGTGATCCTCATACTCTAAGAAACAGAAGCCGCGGTTTTTCTTCTTGTCGTCTGGTTGGTGGTACAGTATCACCTCCTGGAGACCGTCTGAAACATTAAACAGAGAATCTGAGGCTTAGCTTTGATGCAATTTATGGTAAAAAAAAGTAGTGTTAAATGTAGGGTCAGTTTTCAATGTTATTTAAAAACTGACCTGTAAGTTTGCCAAAGTCTTCCAGTATACTTTCCCTGGTCTTGTTCTTTGGAATTGATCCCACAAACAGTCGATTGTTTGCAACAGATATACACACTCCCAAGTACTTGCCAGGGCGAATTTCGTGGTTGTCGCACTATAAATAAAGCACAATTATTATTATCAATAAGTAGCACTTTGTTCAGAGTAAGTGTTGATGATTTGGAACTACAACTCTCACACACTATTAATCACAGGGCACTTACGAGCTTCACTGCCTTTTGTGCATCATCCTTATTGCAGTAGGTAATGAAGGCATATCCTCTGTTCTGCCCAGTGAGAGGGTCCATCATTAACCTCAGGTCCCAGATTGTACCAGCAGATTCAAAAAGTGGCACCAGCTCGTCTTCATACAAATCTCTAGGAATTTTTCCTACAAACACCTGGTGAGCACAAGAGATCTGGGTGGACCAGTGTAAGGACTTTGTAATGTGTGCTGTTTAAGACAATATTGCGGAATTATTAACAATAAATGCCAAGATTGCTACTTGTGGTCACTGCTAAGAGGTGTTAATGATCTACCTCAGTTCCAATGCCTGGTTGTACACCTTTGAACACATCCTCAGGAGGGGGACCTCCATATTTCCTCTGCCCCGTTGTGACATCTAAGGTGTATCCTGTTCGTTCCAATAGAGCCTGAAAAATACAACGTTATCAAATACTCCACACACAGAAAGACAGTATATTACTGTAATCATTGGCTTATTTCTCACCTCTTATAAAACACAAAAGTTTACCTTAATTTTTGCCTCATCCGGACCTTTTGTGGACTCTTGAACTTTGCTGCCTTGCTTTTCCCTCTGTCGGTATGTCTTCATGACTCCACAGAGGAAAGCACTTTTGTTCTACATTGTAATGCAACATGTTATTTTATTTTTTTATAAACACAAGAACAGTCATGAATAGCGTAATGTGCTGTCTCTACACAATTACCTGTACGTGTGACAGATCACTCTCTCTAAACTGCTGGAGTACAGTGAGCGCTCCCTCCTCATTGAACTCCCTTAGTGCATCAATTGCCCTTTCATCTAGGTCAGAATATGCAACCAGCCCTAAAGAGAAATGAGAAAAAAAAGGTTGGAGCATTGGTTATAATTTATTTTATTTAGGCCAATAAAAGTCTTTTTTTTTCTACTTTAATTGTGTGTGATTTGAAGGCAGTGTCCTACCCGTCTGGAAGATGTTGTCTAGGCTCTCAGCCACTTTTTGGGTCAGCCCAGCATCGATGAGTGTTTGATAGTCGTCAGTATGTGTTGCGGTCACATCCATGGGCTCCTCTTCCTCCTTTAGAGGGGCAGAACTACCGTTCACCTCAGCGTCAGCCATTCTCCTGTTACCTGCGACCAAAATAACATAGCAAAATTATTTTTATACATTCACTTTTTGTCAGATGTTTTCTAATTGACCATGAATACAGCGATCTTGGAAGTGAATACAAAACCCACGTGGTTTATGAATTATATATCGTAATGCATATTTAATAAATTATGTCAAATGTTAAAACCAGCATATTTAGTAGACCGTAATATCACCACAGCAGATAACCTAGGCATTCTAAGTAACATAACCCGGTCACGGAATACACAGTCGCCGTCCCGCCCCCCTCACATGCCGCTCGCAAGCTAACTACATAAATACCTGCTCAAAATACGGACGAGAGCCAAACTACTTGGCGAGCATATAATTAAGTCAATGTAGCAGCTTTATAGTGGCAAATAATATTTGAAACTCTTCGGTTTATATGTTAGGTCGATACATGTTTCCTGGCCGACAGGCTAACGAGCTTTAAAGCAGGCCTTGTCGTGCAGACACATTCTTAAAAATCAAACACAGCAGCCGTGAAAAACACAGTTAGCAAAACTTACCAGTCAAAAACAGAAAACTGACCGAGACGCGATTTTAAAGCTTAAAACTAATGATTTGTCGGACTTGAAGAATTGTCAACTAACGAAAAAAACGTTTCTGTCTGACCCACAAGACAGATTTCCAGACAGCAACGGTCTCGTCGTCGGCTCGCCCGAACAACGCCACCGCTCCGTAAACATCGCGAGAAGATGGTGGAAGAAACAAGCAGTAGTTTGGGTGTGTTCGTTTTTGTGTCGGGGTATATGAAAAAGGCGGACACCACGCCGCAGAATTTATTAACAATCCTCCCCACTTCACGCTGGACACGTTTACATTGAATTGATAGCAAGTAAATCTAAGAGTGCATACATTTTCATAATTTTGAAGCAAATTACATTCAACTTCTTTGAACCGCGCACCAAGAACGGCGACCGAAAATGCCAATACAGTATTCAAGTACCACTCCAGCCCAATAGAAATACTATTCTGCACCCTCTTCACATTAAGGATCAACGTTCTTCGTTTCAATAAAACTCTTATAGATTACCATGTATAAGACAAACAGTAAAATAAAAGACATAGATTATTGTATAATTGAAATGTTTATTGTTTTCCCTCTTTTGCATGTTGTCAGCATTAAATGCAGGACCTGCCTCAACAAGCAGTAAAAAAAAAATCAATTATCTGATCAGATCATCTACTTTGCAATGATATGAATTGATTCCAAGGGAAGTGAACTGATGACTTTAATCATCGTGCGTCAGCCTTCTGATTTTGCCCTTGTGGCGGTCGATCTCCTTCTGTAGACGTTCAATCTCCTTTTTATGATGTTCAATCTCTTCCTTGTGATGCTTCCTCAACATCTCCATTTGCTCCTTCTCTTTCTGCCTGCATTTGTGAGTAATGACATTGGAAAATGGTTAGTACCTTATGTAAAACTAACCATACAAAGAGGTTCAACCAACTTCTGATATCCTTTTCACCTGAAATATCGCTCCTCCTCTGCTGCTTCTCTCTTTCCAAATGCACCTCCTGCCTCCCTTATCGAGCCACCTCCACCACCACCTTTGCCTGCTCCCTTGCCTAACTCACCAAGCTGTAAAATAGAGAATATGACAATTAAAATCACCCAATGCATGAATATGGTTAAACTTTGAACATTAGACATTTAGATATGACTGCTAACCATTCAGGACCTGGTTATCTCCAGGTCCTGAAAGTTCAAAGTCAAACAGCAGACATATATTAATAAGAGTAAACAAACCATGTAATGTTTCAGATTTTTTTTATCAGCAAATTTAAGAAAAAAAAGATCTGCAACAACCACAGAAGCACTTTTAACACAAATTAAAAATGTTGTATATTTTAAAACCACACAAAGTGTAATAACATTTACATCATGAAGCAAAGAAGAACTAGTGTGTGGTGCCATGTTATCGAGGAGGTAGCTTGCCAATGATTCTACAGGATTTTCAAAGTTCTGTGGTGAGGCTGTGTTGTGAGTAGTGCAGGAGTATGAAAACATTGGTGGCATCCATTGCCCTGATGTGGTGTGTGACTGAGGCAACAGAGCTTTTGCAAAAGTCTCCATCATGTACATAAACAGTTGACTGTTGGCCTGCTGTCGCTCTTGTATAGCACTGAACCAGCGTTCCTCTGCCTCTTGTTGCATTCTCATGAAGTTTTCAAATCCTGTCTTCAGCTCCTCATGCCGTTTTTGGTCAGCCTCATCCATTTGTCTCTTGTGCTGCATATAGCCTTCCAACAAACTTTCCAAACCACCACTCCCACTTTTCAGTTTTCTATCTTGGGTGCTGGGAGCTCCCCACCAGGGGGTGTCATTTTGTTGAGGACTGGGGCTCTGTGAGGTGGCTGTGCTCTCATCTTCTTCAGAATGAAGTTCACCACAGCTCTGAACTCCTGTTAACACAAATTATGTTACTGTAAACGTGTCACTGCCGAGCCAAACTCGTACACATTTGTATGCACCTACGCGAACGATAACTACTTAAAACGTACCTACAAACACTTACCACGTTTGTCTAAATCACAATTGACGGAAGACTCAGAACGATGTGGTGGCTCTTCAGTGACAGCTGTCAAAGCAACTTCCTCCTTAATATCCACTTCGTGTTCTTGTTGACTGCTTGTTGGTCTTCTGCCCAGTATACCGTCCAGGTCTTTGTACCACACAAACCTACTCTTCTCTTCCACAGAGCTACCTATTTTCTGCGTCAAGTCCCGGACCCAAAAATAACGCTGTCGCAGTTTTTTCACTTTAATGCGACACTGATGTGGAGTTCGATTAAATCCTCGTGCAGCCATCTTCTCGCTGAACAACCTAAAAACCGCAAAGTTCTTGTGTGTGACAACCAGCAAACGCGAAATTTGCTCATCTGACCATATATCGATTAGCGCTTGCACCTCCTCACTGCTCCAAGTCTGGCCTCGAGACATTTTCCAAATTCCCCTGGTTTACCAGGACTATTGCACTTTCGCGCTGTTTACCTTCATTTTTCTTTCTTACCCAAAATGCGCTGCGGTCTACGTCATCGCGTATTTTTCGCCGTGTACTACATTTGCATATGACACGCCCCGATTAAAGGTTTTAATCAATTATAAGCATGCTTAGGCTCTAGTTTGATCTTAATTTTTATATGCAAGCATTGATTTAACTAAACTTTTTGTTTTTATCTGAAACAGGATCCATTAGTTTTGAGTTTTTGTAAGTGTGGGTTTATTGTATTCCATCAAAATCAAATTTCCAAATAGTGTTGCCCTTATATGTTCATGAGTTTTTATTGCGAAGCTAATTTCCCCTGAGCTGAAGAACAGCTAGGTACAAACCCAATTGGGAAATGCTAAAGAAAGACGTCGCTTTATTGAGTGTTTTTTGTAATTGTTTAAAAGTTGATGCACACAATTCCTGTGTTTCCTTTTTGCACACTAACACAGCCACCATAAATAATCATGAATGGTTATTTACACTACAATGAAGCTACAGGACTTGTGGCTCCCATGTTTTCACAAGGCATTGCAGAAAGTTTGTATTGCATGGTTATTTGTCTTTTACATAAAACAAAGTTATGCCATCGCTGATTTCTGTCTATTAGGGTGCAAGGTCTGTCACAGTGTGTGACATTACATAACTGCAGCAGCCAAGAGTTCAGGTTTACAGTGAATAAATGGCATATATTTAGCACATACACTGGGCCATATGGAATACTGTCATTTTTTTTACACCAAAGGCGCTTATTTGACCTACAAACTAACGGGCTAACCTTGGGAGCCTCACTGACTTCTGCTGATAACAACTTGCACATTTTAGCGAGCTAATGCTAATAGACATTTAAAAAAATGACTATTGTCGTCCGCCCCGGCAGTTTACCTGATCAGACGAATATCTTATCTGGGAGACGATGCATCTCCTCAAGTTTGACTTCAGGAGAAACCTTGACATGGTTACTCCGCTGTTATTTGAAGTAAGTAAATGTACTAGACTGTGAGAAACTTTTAGGCGAACGCGGAAATTTGTAGTAAACGCCTGGAATATGGGCGTGGAGAGAAGCACGTATTTTACGTGACTGACCCGTTGCTGCCTCCACATGGTGAATGGAGGGACTTTACCTCTAAGGAGGGTGTACAGTGTAAAAGTGAAGTGAAGGTGAAGAGTGTGTAGAGTTAAATTAAAATTTTTCGGCAGTTATTTTTTTTAATTATGTAGTTTCCATTTGTAAACAGAGCCCTTATTTTTCCTTTATAATGAGTCAGTGTAATTTATTCCATAGTTGTTTTTGTGTTACCAGTGTTTACAGGCTGATGACAGCAGCCTGGGTTGTGTATGTGTTTCTCCACCTGGTGATCATCTCTTAAGTGCTGGATCAAACACATCAACAAGCACAATTGGAAGCATTTCACAGCAAAGGCAGACTGTGGGTGTTTAGAACATATGAGTCATGAAGGAGTCCCACTGATGAAGAGCCCTCTCTTCCAGACAAAGCTAATCACATCTAGGTTGCATGAGCTCACAGTCCTTGACATTCCCCTCCTCTTTGTCTGAATTGTGAAGAGGTGATGGTCAATGAGCGCGGAGGCGCGATGCTGCTGTGCTGACGTCCTGCACCTTGTCAAAGCTGCTTAGAAGTTAGTCAACTAAGAAACACTGAGTTATGTCCTTTTGCTCCACTTCCTAGTGTTACATTGTGTATTGAAGTGCTGGGTTTCTACTGCCACACATCTACCGATGGGGTTTCTGTATTCTAACTGTAATTTGTAATGTGGGACTTTTATTCAGCAAAATCCAGAGCAGCCTCTTGCAACATACTCAAGAATTATTGCATGAGCCATTATTTATTATTGTATTAAATTTGGACTAGTTTTTAGATATATATTTCAGCTATCTAAGCCTTAATTAAGTAAATTAGATTTTATCTTACTATACCTGGCATTTAAAGTCAAACTTTATATAATTTCAGGAAGTTCACAAATAGTGACGTTAAAACCGGGGCAGTGACACTTTTTCAACAAATGGTGGCAGTATAATCTAATGTAAATGATGAACTGAGTGTGGCATCAAGGATAGGCTTTTTTTCCCCCAATGAAATCCGTTTAAAGCAACGACTTTTTCCTGTAATGGTGGACAGCACACGCTGGTATCACTTTTTTTTAAATGGTGATGGAGATTTGAGTGTCATGTATTTATAATGAGACGTGTACTGCAGACACCTGGACATTCACCTGTTGTAAAACTCGTGTTTGACAAATGTAAAAAAGCGTGACATTTAATTTTCCTCTGAAACCATAAATTCTTATTGTTTACCTTGTAGATTAATATCTAATGTGGAAACTTCAGTTACGAAGCAGCATGTAACTGATGAAACAGACAGGAAGTTATTTTGGCGTGTCTGGCAGAAAAAAGAAAAAGACCAGAGTCCAGAAAACTCAGAGAGCTTTTAGTAAGTCTTTGTGCGCTAGGATTTTTTTTCTTTCCACATAGCCATGTAGGGACTTCCGATCCACAGGATGCAGAGCGACCAGTCACCTGAATCCTTTCAGAGCTGCTCACCTTGCTATCTCAAGTGTTGCCATAGGAAATAGTATCCTGGCAACAGCACTAACCTGAGCAAAGACAAAGTAAGGTCATGCAGACAACAAAGTATGGCACCGTGTTACAGTGTGAACGATCTGTTTTCATAACCCCTGCATTCAAGGGCCTTCATTACAAATGTGTTTTGATGTGATTAAGCATTGTTGGAATTTTGATCCTTATTATTTGTGCATATTTTGTCAGCCACAGCCCTCACTGTGCAGACCTTAGGATGTTGTGCATAATAATATGCCTCATACTGATGCACAAGCAACAACTGCATGCATCAGATCTGAATTTCAGATAGGAGCCTTCTGCTGGCAGCCCTTCACTTTAGGATGAAGTGCTGAAATTACATACTGTACTTCCTTTTCCTTGATAGCCTTTGTTTTGGGGTGGATTGGGGGGAGGGGTTTAAAACCTGCAGCCAGTAAGAATTCATTTGCGACACAAACACTGCAGACAATTATGTGCTGTTTTGTTTGCTCAGTGTTTTGGAAGTGTTTAGGCTTCTGGGGCTTTCATTTATGTGCATTCAGACAGTAGAACACACAGTGTTGTGAGCTGCCTGGATGCTGCTGTAGTTGCCATGGTGACCATCAGGACTGATAAAGGGGTTGGGATTGGTTACAAGGTCTTTTCAAACAAGAAACATTGGCAGACAATATTGACATGCCCGGGGCTACATTAGAGAGCGGAAATGATTCACTAAGCAAAGTGATTACAATATGAAGTTTTACAGTTTATATTTTATTGCTGTTATTAAACATGCCTAATGTTTGAGTCTTTAGTCTGAAACAATGTTTCATAAAAGGTGGATTGTGACCCTAAAGATGGGTCACTGTACATTATTGTTATCCTGAAACTAGGTCATAATTCTTTCATCGAGATCAAGTAATACACATAGCAATAGAGACTCGTAAATACCCAATGCATAAGAAGTGCCCCATAAGTTTCAAATTCTATTTGAAATTTGCTTTTTAAATTATAGTGAAGTCTGATTGCTTCTACAACTGTATGTTTGAAAAAGTTAAAATGTCATTATGTAAATATAAAGGGCAATTTAATATTTTTATTGCCATTTTGTACTAATGATTTTATTAATACATGACTAGGCAATACTTCAAAAAGTTTTCATGTGTCATAAATGGACACATTTAACCTTTTCTCTTATGCATACTTTCTATAGAGACTCACTCATTGAGTATAAAATGCCCTTTTCACTTCAGCAGCCTCTTGACGTTCTTTCCCATTCCATCAGTACCACAGCTGGTCATTAGCCTCTCCCTGGCCAGTCAACCCCTGTGGTCAGCATACAATCTGAATGTAAGAGAAATGGAAACGCCCCCTATATGAAACCATTCTCAATAGACTGCTGGCATTTGCCTATGACGCACGCTCACAGCTGCAATCAGCTTCATCTGGTTCTGTTTTTTATATTGAAAATGTAGTTTCTTTTTTATTAAATTGAAAAATGTCCATTTATCAATCAGATGTTAGAGCAAAAGGTCAGGAGATTTATATGTGTCTGCGTGAAAAGGAATGAGTGCTTATTTTGTATGAGAATGCTTGAGGATATATCCTGCGTGATGCCAATCTTCTTGTTTGTTCTGTTGATTGCTTTAGTGGACTGTGATTACATTAAACACAGAGTGACATTCAAAAGTAGCAATCAAACAGGAAAACACAAGGTTTGAGGACTACAGATTTTAGTTTTTTGGCTCTCGAATTGAGTTTTCTTTCCCACTAACAAGTTGAAAAACATTCATAACAGCTTCATTTCAGCATGTGACAACAGTGACAGCATTATAAAAAACTGAAAAATAAAAGCCTGTGAATCACTGGTATCACTAGATGTTCTTTTAAATTGTAGGGCATGGATTAGAATTCCAGCCTTAGCCCTGCAGTATACTGTGCATTAGTTGGTGTGTCAATATTGTGTTACTTCACAGAGAGAAATACTACTTCACTTTCTTATTGCACAGTAGGTTCCGACAGTGTATTAGAGACGTTGAATAAAATGTTATTAAGCCTCGCTCCATTGACTTAATCCATGTTCAACTCTTCCACGTCACTGCTGTGACCAAATATCACTCAAAAATGTATCAACACGCCACGGCTGCAGGGCCAGTCACTCTTGTTGTGTTAATCCGTTCCTGCCTGTCGTTCTCATCTGTGTGTTTTGTGCTCGGAGGGTGTTCGTGTGTTCCCTGTGTTTACCTCTCTACCTCTCTCGCTGACCCTCATTTCTGTTTTGTTGCCCAGCCTCACCAGTTGGAGACCTGAGTTCTGAACTCTTAAAAATGAAGGACTGAACTTTGATTCCTGTGTCCTGAATTATGAGTTACCATGAAAAGGCTAATGCCAATAATTTAATCAAATAGCTAGTATAATTTATGACCGGTTCTTTCCTCTTCTTATAGTCGTGGAAATACTCCATTCCCCAACCTAATAAGCATTAGCATCTGTTGTTACTATAGCAACAGTCTTCAATTATGAGACAGGCAGGGCCATGCTGTTATTGCCAGCTAGGTGCTAATTGATGCTGGATTTGATAGAGGGAGGGGGTTAAAAATGAATATAAGAACCAGTTGTGTTTGAGGCAGGGGGATGGGTTGTCAGTTGAGGATGTTTAAATCACTTGGTTTCACACACCCATCAGTGTGAAATCTGCATGCCAATTTCTGATGAAGAGAGAAGGGAAACATCCTCATTGATATTCATAAAAATACAATATAAACAGCCTTTTGTATTACTGCAGGAGCAGCGATATTATCACGAAGAAATAAAAAAATAATCTTTTTCAGTCCCTGCATGTACTGCATGTATCAGTGTCGTATATCTGAGACTATGTTTAGAGTATTTGAAATATGATCTGAATAGTGAATTGACAATAAGAGACTGTCGACTGCAATGTTTTGAACCGAGCCAGCACTTTGAGATAATGAACTTCTCAGGATAGAGTGTATTGATGAGAGGCGGCCTCACCTTTGTCTACTTCCAAAACCACAGGTGGGCTTTCTTTGTACCTTCAGGGCGTCTCGTAGCAGTATAAATCACAAACTGAGGGCAATGTCAATTCTTTATATGAATTATATGGTATTAAAATACATGGTGATGGTGTTGATGAGAAGGGGACTGACCATCACAGGTTCCACCATTTTGTCTGTTCATGTAAGTTTTCTTTCGTGGCGTCATGTAAGTGTGGCTGGTAGCTGTGTTGTTATGGTGTTTTATGGTCTAGAATTTCACATAATGGTATTTATCAGCTGTGTTGCTCGTGTCACAAAACAGAAGTTATTCCGAAGCCGGAGGACATGATTTGACCTAGTATCAAACATCAACTAGTGTGAAATAATAACGCCTGTAGTAAATCACAATTTGCACAGAAACCATGGCAGTTCTCAGGTGACCTCCCCAAATCAGCAGAGCTCAGTAAATTGGTGCCGTAAATCCCATTCTGCTCATGCCCGGGAGCGGAGTTACAGCACATTGGCTCAATTAAACTGAAGAATGGAATATAGAGAAGGATGAAAATTAAGTCACTGACAAAGAAGGCCAAAAACTAAATTTAAACCAAGGAGATTGCCTATTTTTAAGGAGGCCAGAATCAAATTCTGGCTCCTGTCAAACTTGTTTATTTTGTCATTACTCAGCCTAATAGATCTTTGTACCGTCTAATAATTCACCTTCTTAAAAAGCATGAAAATAGAACAGAGACTGCACTTCTATCATCTCAGATGCTGCTCTCTGTGCTGTCAATTACATCTATATATAGTTGGTTTATTTTGCAGGGGTTCAAATCCACATTGGACTTTCTATTTACTTCACTGTTAAGGTGCATGTTGGTTTTCTGTCTGCAGACATTGGCCGTCGCTCTGTTGTGGTCTATTTCTTGGTGAGAACTCGTCAATAACAGACAATCACATGGTTCATGTAATATAGATGTATTTTATTAGAAATAAATCACATTCATTTTGTGCTATGAAAACTGTACATGTACGGCAGGTAAAACTGAACATAAAAAAACAACGTAGTGAGAAGGAAAATACAAATGGTCTTTTCAAACACGAGTAACTCGAGGTATGGATCAGACTTTGGGCAGAACAGACCGATTGGAAGGGACAGAGGAAATTGGCTGGTAGCACAGACTGTTGAGTTACTGACAAGGTTATTAAAAACAGTTACAGAAGATATGAGGATCATTTACTCGTTGCTACGCAGGACAGAGTAATAACAAACATCCTGATGTACAGATTTGGAGATATTCATAGGCTATCATTCACTCTATATGATTACTTTATAGAAGTACAATTATCTACCTGTCACAGCTCCAAATATGGAGTCTTGTGCTAACAAATCTCTAGCTGATAAATTCCTTGAATCACTAATACAGATTTGTCACACAAAGCATGTTCGCATAAATCATCTCTATGCTCTGTAAATAGGAGGAAGATGGTATAAAAATTTTTAAAACATTGGTAAGAAAAAATTCTAAATTCGTAATATCAGTCTTGCTTGAGCATCAAGCGCCCATCATATTGCACTATTTCACACTGATGGCTAAAAACACAAAATGTGTTGAAGTCATGAGGACCTGTCGCCGATGGCTGGAAGTCGTTTCAGCGCCAGGAGCCTCGGGTTCGCTCCAAGAGTTCTGCAAGGCTGAGAAACAAAAGGGCGATGATGAAAGGTCTCACTGACCCTCTTGGATCCAAACACACCTACTGTATACGACATGGAAGAGCCTGCATCTTGTGCCAACTGAGAGGGAGGGATGTATATAGCCCCTGCCGCTCCCTCCTCAAAATTCCACCCAGCAGTTTTTCCCAGAGTGCACTGCTCTTCCTGTGTGAGAGTCTGTGTTCATCCCAGTGCTGGTGTTTTGGTATAGAAGCAAGAATGCTGGAGAATCCAGGATGTGCTGGTTAACGAACCACCACCTCCATCACCACTCGCTATGTTTGTCCCAATGCAGTCCATATGGGCTCAGAACATGGTACACATAATTGGTGCACTTGAGTTTTGTCTTTTTGTTTTGTGTCAGTACATAAATAATAACATTTGTGCCCGACAATCATTAAGTGATTTAAAAAAAATAAATAAATAAAAAGAAAATGACAGAAACAATAGTAATCTTATCACTGACAACCACTGGAGTACTCATAACAACGGTGGAAACAGCAAAGAGAAGCAATATCAGCACGTTCTTCAGTTCTGTTGTTGCAGTTCCAGGAATGAAGCGATTATAAATCCTCAAAAAAACAAAACAAAAAGAAATCGATAAATAACTCACAGCATGAAGCAAAAATGTGTGCGCCCATTAAAGAGTGTGTAGTGTTGGACTTGAAACTGGTCCCTTAAGCTCTCGAGCCTTGTCCTATTTTGGATAGTAACTCGGCCGCAAAAGAAGCAGCCAAGAGTTCTACGGTCGTACCTCCTGAGGAGCAGGGAGGACGTCGCCGTTTGAATATCAATATATTTTTCTCCAAAGTTGAGTTGAAGGAAAAAAGAAGCACAGACATGTTGACCACATCTTCTGAAGCCCAGGCTGAAAGGTTCAGGAACCTCTGTGTTGATGCACAGTCAGTCCGGGGTCCAAGGAAAGCGGTGTCCACTCCACTTACCCTACGCTCTATCTGAATTCTCTGACACGAGTGAGGTCCACATGGAGAAGCTACATTAAACATCCCACCACTACCTCCTCTCTTCCACCCCCCCCTGCTACTTCCTGCTCTGACTGAAGCTTTGAAGACGTTTGATTCTGTGGCCTACTTTCTCACTTACTCCCTTTCTTGGTTTCCTTTACTCTATCCTTAAAGGATTGCATTCCCAAACCAAAAAGGTGACCGAGGTGAAATCAGGTGGATTTTCCGGACAACGCCTCAAACCTCTGTCTGCAGGTCAATAATGTCTTGTCCCACTAGAGGGATTGTGGTGCTGGTTTTTTCCCAGTCCACAGAGTGCAGCTCCAGAGGAGAGGCAGCAAGTGGCTCCAGGTCTTTGCGCACCCAGGCAGGGGGTGACTGTGGAATTCCCCGGACTCCTTCCCAAGACCTCTCCAATGACGTTTGCTGTTTGTCCTGTACAAGCATAACAAACAGCCACTTTAGCTCATGGTGCCAATTACCAGCCCGGAGACATTGATTAATCCGAAATGCAATGACTTAAATTGCATCAGAGGTGATTTTCTAATAATGAGAGTCATGGTGTCATTTGGTGAAATTACTCCTCCTTGAGGCAGGTGTCATATTTGATAGTCTGTGTCATCTATAAGCAGTAAATTTGACATTTGTGTGAGGTTGTATATAAACAAGCACACTCACGCTGTGGTTGGTTTTGTCACTTCCTCCTGAGGACACACTCCATCTCACAGACTGAAGGAAGGAAGGAAGGAAGGAAGAAAATAAATTTTCAAGCAAATGACTTCCAGGTAATGACAACCACAGTGAAATACACAAGTCATTGGTTGTTGTCTAGGGACATTGTTTTATATCATTGGATTCTTATTAAAACACAAGTTTTGCCTCTGTAATATTTGCCTCTTTTCTTCCTTGAAATGAATGTCAATGGGAATGGATGGTGACCGTTTCAGAGTGAGATCGTACCTTGCTGTCAGAAGCAGGCGACTCCCTGTCCTTCTCTGCGTGATGTAGCCTTTTGTTCAAGTCCTGGAACATGTTCTGGTGGCGTTTCTTCGTGTGCATTATTTTCTATAGAGGGCAAAGGATTTTTTTTAAACAAAGTACTGCTTGTTTCTTTTTCATCCAATCTTATTTGTCAAGTTACAATTAATCAACCCATTGATATTTACCTCAAAGTCCAACTCAGCATAACGAGATTTCTGTCTCTGCAAATAAAGCATAAGGAAGAAAGTTGTTAGATACATGCTAGAAGGAATAGATGTTTGTTTTGTTCTGCATGTAGTTCCAATGTTCTCACCTCCAAAGAGCTCATAGACAGTGTGGAGATGGTCTCACTCTTGGACATCATAGAGTTCATGGACTCAAACGTGTTCTCCAGGCTGCTGTGGGTGATGTGGGACTCGCTGGACATGTTGTGGATGTTCTGTATCGGCGAGTCCCTCTCTGAGTACGATACGCTGACCTGATCTGGAGTGATGGACTTCATTCCAAAGGCAGTCTGCGGCTCAGCAAAGGGTCCGCCAAGGTGCATCAGTCTGGCCTGTGGCAGTTGGTCCACGCTAATGTTGTATTTTGTCTGATCGTCTTTAGGCTTGGACCTAAGCGTGGAGGTGGTGTTGGGCATGCAGACGTAGCCGCTGCCATCCGAGACACTGCCCTCGACCTGAGCCCGTGCGAGATCAGCGTCCAGCTGCTGGAACAGCTCACTCTCGCAGACGTAGATGGGTTTCCCGCAGGTTGGGTCGACTCCACCGGTGAGTCTGCTTTTCTCCCTCTTCAGTGTCAGTGTGTGGCTGGAATATTCAGGAACTGCCTGCATATGGCCCTTACTGGGGTTGGATGGTAGGGTGTGGAAGTTGGGGCCCATGGGCAGAGGCAGCTGAGGAGGAGGCATCTTCTCTTCGGAGGAGCTCTTCATTCCTGGCAATGAAAATTGTGTCAGAGTCAAAACATAATAAATAACTTTGACACTTCTGAAATATCGCTTTAATGAAAATGCTTTCTTTCAGTGAATGACCAGATATTTCAAGTGCAGGGCTAAGGTCAGGGATAATGCAAATGGAAAAATGGTTAGTGAATTTAAAAGGGGTCTCACCTTGTCTGCCTGACTCTCCATCCTTTTCATTTTCAGACTGCTGATAAAAGAATAAAATATTTTCTATTAGTGCCTGATGTAAGCACAAATCAATTTAGGGGTAAATACCAGAGGCACTCAAGACATTAAAAAAGGCAATAAGCCAAGAAAGTTACCATATGCTGGGTGTGGCCATTGTGATGGGAACTGCCAGAGTCTCCGTTGCCATCGTCCTTGCGGTCGACTACCCTGCACTTTACAGCTTCTTGTACCTAATGGATGAAGCCGGGATATAAAAGTCAGATAATAGAACCTCATAAAGAAAACCCATAAAGTAAACAACATCTTTTTGTGGTTTTATTTGGTCTCATCACAGCTTATCTCACCTCTCTACGCAGAATGCAGTGAACCATGACAATGATGAAGCCCTCCAGAGAGTCGAACACGGCGAAGAGGATCTGGAAGAGCGCTGAGCGGCGGTCGGTGATGGCCAGGACGGCAGACATCCAGGTGAGGGCCAGCAGAGGCAGAACCACACAGGAGCTCCACAGTGATGCTCTGTAGGGTGGATAACAACTCAGTTCAACAGGCTCTAACAGACTGATTTTCTTTCTTGTTGATGGTCAGCATCAGAAAAATACCTGTGGTGTTAAAAAAGAATATTCTGGTTACACCAGATTAGAGTAGCAACACCTACCCAGCTCTCTCCTTCAGCTTTACGTCAGTGATGCCGTCCTTGGATACCAGCTTGTTGAAGACCAGAATACCAATGACCATGTTCACCTGTTTATAAAAAAACATGGGACAGAAACATTTTAATATCAGGTAATGCATTTAAAAATAGAGTGTATGAATGGACTGGGGGAATTTTAGGTCAGGATACGCACCAGAACAACAGCTGCAGCCGGGCCAACAAAGGAGTAGAGGAGTCCACCCTCAAGAGAGAGCCAGCAGCTAGTAGAACAAGAAGAAGAGCGTTACATTTTGAGCCAATGCATGATTATTTACCATGTGGACACAAAGAAAAGAAGAAACTGCAGCAGATTGACAGTGGACTTACTAGTTGACGGTGCCGTATCCCTTCGCTTTTGTGAAACCCACTGAAATGCCCACCACCAGTGCAGGCAGACCTGCAGAGACAGAAAAATAGATATATTTTAAAAACCCCTGGAGGAGAAAAAACAGTTGAAACATGCACTACAAACATTTGAGAAGGAAGGAAAGGAAAAAGAAAGGAAGCTAAAGGCAGGTGCTCTTACCCCAACCCAAGCACAAGAAACGTTTGCGGATAATGCGGTTGCGCAGACGACCAGTGACAGCCATGTAGGACTGCCAAGCTTCTGTCAGCACCCAGCAGAAAGAAGAGAGGAAGAAGAAGTGCAGCAAAGCAGCCACGAGAGTGCACACCACCTGTGGGGTGCCAGGAGGAAAGTGAGGTGGAGGCAAAAGATGAGAAATCTGTTAGTGACACTGCTGACAGTCTTCAAACTGTCAGTTCAGAGAAGTTTAGTGGAGAGGAGAGTTCAGAAAGATGGAGGCTAGAAGAGCCTTTTACCTTGTTGCGAGCCTGCGTTTGTCCGACAAGAATGAGGGCATTGGAGCAAATAATGGAGAGGCAGAAGTTGATGAGGATAACGGAGCGCTCGGAGCGGATGTACCTGAAATTTGGAGAATAGGAAGAAAAGAATACAGTTAGCTCCAGGATGAGAAAATTAAAGTGAAACTGTGTGATACAACATCAACAGAGTGGATCAGGGGGTCTAGTGTTTTTTTTCTTTAATGGTCAGATATTGCTTTAAGGGCTACTCACTTCCAAACCGAGACGTAGATGATGATGAGGAGCAACAGAGTGAGAGAGGAGACCCCACAGCCAACGATGAGGGTCACGGATGGGAGCAGTGCCTTGTCCATGATCTACAAAGACAGAACAAGAGGAAAGATTAGTGACAATTACATACACATCTCTGTGTTCTTACACACAAACATACACCAGAGAAACATCAGGATGTGCCATCCCGTAGATGATGACGGCTCCCTGTAGATGAACAGCCGATTGGCACAATCAGGCCACATATGAAGCAAGGTGACCTCAAGGTGAATATGACAGAAAGATGGAGCGGAAAACAAAACGAATGGTTAGGGTCACCGCATTTCTCCATCGAGCTATTGAGTCAGCAAATGAAGCGAGCAGGACGTCGCACATACATCTCTCTCAACTGATCACCGAGGAGGGGGGCTGTTCAAGTCCCATGGGCGAGGCTGCTATATAACTGCCAAAGCCACCGTCTAATCACTGACAGATGGTTTGAGATGTTCTTTGTTCCAATCTCTTGAAAGCAGTTTCACACCATGGTGGTGTTTTTGGGCCAGGATCCCAGTGAACAGGTGGACTGCCATTACCTGTGCATTAATCTGCTGCCTCCTGCCCTCCTGACCCCTGACAGCAGTAAGTACTTGCCACTGCCAGAAGCAAGTGATTGTCCCATGTGTAAAGTTGCCCTGACACTGAACCTCTGGTGGAGGGACAAAGAGAACTAGAAGTTTTAACTGCTGCTCCGTCACCTGGAGTACTGACAGGTCGCTGCTGCAAATGCTTCGCTGTTTGGCAAAGAAAAAAAGAACTCTCACCTTCTAAACCCCCTCACTGTGTGATTTCACTGCTTCAAATACATTTCTCTGTCTCACGCCTTCTCAGGTGGTGTGGTTATGTTTTTGAGAGGCAAAGCAGGTGAGAAAAGAGTGAGGTGTCTGTAAAAGGTGAGCGAAAAAATGTACGGGTATGTAATAAATCTGCAGCTATCAAATTAGCGCAGCTAGAAGGGAAAGAAATAGACACCGCCCTGGCCTTGGTTTGATTTATCACGGCCATAAATTCTGATTTTTGCCAGCGGAGGAGAGGCCTGGCATCTCATACCTCTACCTTTGTTCACCGGCGCACTGAAGTGATTGTTCTTATCCATGTCAGTATGTGATCTACATGGACTCGGCTGATATCACAAATATCACAGTGCAGCTGGCGAAGGCCGACCCACGGCAGCCAGAGACTCAATTACTGCGGAATATTTGTTTCAATATCCATCCAAGAACATCAGAGGAGCTGCGGAACAGATGGTAGATAACAGGGCGGTGAGATGTCTTTTTGCCTCAGCCTATACCCTATCTGAGGAAGCAAAAAATAGCAATCTGTGATACAGTATGTTCCCTGCTCTGTCGTCTCAAGTCACTGTATCTGGGTTGATGCTTGCACCACCGGCTGCTGAGTGAAATCAGCCAGTTTGACCCAGTTATGAAACATGTCCTTGACTACATTTTTGGACAGATCTGAAGCAGGTGAAAAAGTTGTATTAACGAGCCCTGCAGCAGTATTTGAAGGATTAACCATTCCGCCTTTTTATATTTTTATACTGAATACCCCAGCGGTAAAGAGTACATCTGCTGCACTAACTACATTATCTGGGGCACTCCCCTTTGGACCATCAACTTGCCAACAGACTTGATGCCATGGGAGACTTCAACATCGCAGCTTATTAAATAAGCCAGTGCAGCTTGTGACTGTGGTTCATGTTCCTCATGAGGTTCACATGAACCCGTTATTGAAAATGTCCACGCTGCACATCAAACAGATGGATGGAGATGTGGACAGCAGCGGCATGGGGGAGTCATCAATGCATGACCAGACATCTATCTGTCACTGGTCCTCCTTGTGGGCAATCTAGGTCTTGCTGAGACAAAGGATGAGGAGGAGGAGGAGGGGTAAGGAGGAGAACGTAATCGAAAATTCAGAGGTATTGGCAGCAGAGTGATTGGCGGGGCTTTTGTTCACTGTCATGGGAGGCTGGAAGGAGATGGGAACATAGATGGCGCTGTTCAGACTGAAAGCAAGACAAATGAAATCTTGGCTGTGAATGATAGGTTGTAGGCTGAAGAGAACAAAGGGCAAAAACATGAAATCACTGCAGGGAGCACAATTATAAAAGACGACACACTTGGTTAGACTACAGACTGTTGCTTTGTTTGTGCAGCATCCTTTTGATGCACAGCACAGACGGACAGACATCTCTATTGTCCTGAAGCTGTCCAGAGCAGAGACCAGAGATGATCACTGTTGCTCTTCTGTGTGTATGTTTTTATAGCGCATCGAGGATCAGTTCTTGTTGGGTGACCTTGTCAGGACATCTTGCCAACCTCTTGGAGGTTAAGGACACAATTTTAGGGTAGAAGAGAAAAGTAGAACTGATTTGATTACATTAAAACTGTTGGTTCTGTAAAATGTTTGAAAGGAACAAGACATAACAGGATAATGAGTGACCACTAGTAGGATAAAACTTATAATTATGCTACCATATTATAGGCCCTAGATCGTTGATGTCAGGGTAAAGGTCGATATCAGGCATTTACTCCTTTTAATATACAGACTGTTCTTACAAAATAGGAGAGACCAGTAGGTGTGTGTGTTTATCCCCTAGTGCACATCTCGTATCAAAAATCACATAGGCCGAGTTTGCCTGCAGATGCGGTTGCCACAGCAACTGGCGAAGAACAGCTTCAGTCCACAGAGGAAAAATTACACAGTCTTTGCTCATAAAATAATAATAACAAAAATGTACGTTTTTGTCCAAATCGCCTCATAACAACGGTTAATTCTGTTACCAATCTGCGCAGGTATGAAGCAGAACATGCAAAATGCATGCAATAAGTACAACAATAATTGCAAAAATTAATGCAATAAATGATTAATTAATTTTATAACTAAAATGTGAGGTTAATATTTGTGCAAAACTGTGATTTTCTCGCTGCTGCATATTTGCTCTCCCCCCTCTCTAAATTATGCAGTATAGTTACCACAGGGAAAAACATTAAACGAACACATCGCTACAAAATCGACCGTTTCCCCATGTGGACATTATCATTATTTACATTTTTAAGTGAATCTTAATCTGAATTCCTTCGCATCAACACGTTGATCGGCTATTTTTTTCCAGTCAATATAAAAAAACAGCATCACCTGCGCTGAGACAAAGAGGCAGCGCAGCATCAGCACCACAATATCAGCTACTGCAAAACAACAACCTCACCGCAATCACACAAACACACACAATCACATGTACTGCACGAAAAATCCAAAACGCACGAAAAACAAACGAGACCAGACAGGCTCACATTTGCCGCGAGACGGAGGAGACTTACCGAGTCCAAGTTGATGCGCGCTAAAATGGCGAAGGTGGAGACGCTGTCACACACGCATTTGGTTCTGAATGAATGAACGGGGACGGATCTGCAGCTCCGAGCAGACCAGGAGCCGAGCAAGGACGAACTGCACAGAGGAGGAGAGGCAAAGGCAGCGGCAGGTTAGGAGGAGAGCAGAGATCTGACAGAGCTCCCATGTGAATGGATTTGACTCAGAAAAAAGAAAAAAAAATATGGCTTGAGCTCCCACAGCTCCAATATGTCCAAAATATACTCCATGCATCTGAAGCCACATGTGAAATATTAACATTCATATCACAAGCTTGATTCACGGCCAAGACAAAAAAATAAAATACATCTTTATATTACACCATAAAGCTGAGGTGATTCATCTCAACTGGCTTTAATAATGACTTTCACATTCCGTTGATGAATAGACTTCTGGACCATTGATTAATGATCATAGGCCCCCATAAATCTCAATATTAGCATAATCTGTTTCATTTCTTGTCAAGGCCAATATTTTCTCAGTGTACACATACAAGAGTGTTGGCAAGGCTCGGCTCGGCCCGGCAAAAGGACAAAGGATGCAGAAGGATGCAAATGTAAAGACGACATAAACTGAGGCGTCAAATTAAGGTGATTTTACTGATTCTGGGCTTAGACGGATCCCAAAGACCGGGAGAATTACAAGGAGAGTGAACAATCAATACGAAGTGCTTTCTCAAATGAAATGCAACTTCCCTTGAAATCACTTGAACCTTCAGTCCAGGGATCCTGACTTGTGCTAAGCCAAACAAATTAAGACCTGCCTTTGTGTGCGCTGCTGCAGCAGGAGCAGCAGATGCCAGAGAGCACAGAGCACAGATTAGGTTAAGGCAATGAGCAGCGTCCTCTGACTCAAACCGACTGGTGAGTAATTAGAAGCATCATCGCAGCCAGCAGGTCCAGTCTGGTACAGAGTGTCACAGGCAGACGGCCACAGGGGAACTGCAGTAGTATCTCATGTGTGCTTTATTACACAGTGACTTAATCATGCAGGTTCTGGAGTTAATTGTTGATGTGTAATTTAGGGCAGATGTAAAAAGAGGATGTGATTCTGTTGTCCTGTTTGTTTTTGTTCATATAATGATACAGATGGGTCTAGAATCTGTTGCCAGATAATGTAATCAACCACTTCCTGCGATGACAAACATACACAGGTCTGCAAACGAGCACCGACCCCAGAGTCTCTGTCCTGGTTCGGAGCTTCCTCTTCTGCCATTTCCTTTCCTACCATTAATCACCTCTGCTGTCAAACATGAACATGATTTGACCAGAGGGACACTGTCCTTCCTCTGGATGTGTGAGTAATTGTATTTTTTTCTTCTTCTGCTAATGTTTTGGCAGGGGTTTAGGTGAAAAAAATAGTTTACGTGAATGTGCGTGGGGGCAAAACTATCTATATGCAAATGCTCCACCTGTGTGTTCTTCAGGAGGACAGAGTGGGCCTGGGGCGGATCAATCCACGCCAGACCACCGTGAAGGCCTGTCATCAGTCCTTTTAATGCACATGAGCATCTTTGAAAACTCCCGAGCTCCACAGTCATTAACGGTGGCAGTGACATATGAACATGGCTGAGAGGTGACGGAGGCGGGGAGGCAGGGTCTGTTATTGTCTGCAGATTGACAGTCTGTGGTGTGACTTGTAGGGAAGCTGCGATGGATTTACTTAATGGTGTATGTAATGAGGTTATTAGTGTTGCCTCTGTGGTTTTTTCCCCCTTTATCTGGATGTTTTTTAAGGAAAGTGTGAGATTAAGTCAGTGTCACTCTACTACCAACGTCAGCCATATGTTCTTACTTATAATAAATCTACTTTACAAAAGTAGAACAGTCAATACATGGCCCTGCAGGTCATTTACACCTGTAGGTTGTCTGTCCTCTGCCTGTATTTCTTCCTTTACATTTAAAGTGGCTGGAAAGGCTATTATCTACAAAATAGTGAACATTTGCTGCAGGTGATCAGAGGGCGTTCAGTGCCGTAGCACCTAGGCTGCAGCTGAATCACTGTAGCTAGTGGAGCTTTGATGAACTGCTGGCTCATGGCCCGTTTGAAGTACCTTTCTTATATTCAGTGGGAAGATGCACTCGGGAAACACTAAATGTATTTCTGTTGTTGACAAGTTGAAAATGAGATCTTTTACTAAGGAACCTGCCTGTTATTGACACCAAAACAAACACTGCTGTCACCATCTAACCCCATTTCAGTTAGCTGGGCCACTCAGAAGAAAAAAAAAATGTTATGAAAGTACTGAAGAAAAACAACACTTACGCATCACTCTCGTCCCATGACAGGCACGTCTCATTCATGGTTCCCTGTAAAAAGAGATGCAGATGGACGAGTCAGTGTGAGGAATCTCTCCAGAAAAAGGGAAATGCGTAGGCTGGGACAACTGTACTATAAATGTGTGAGATGCAACAGCTTGGCACCAGCCACCTGCCATCGTTTCTCTCTCTCAGACTAAAAACAGAGTTTTATCAGCTGCACAGGCTCCTGCCAGTGATCTCACAGTGCCATCGTCATCCTGCTTATCATGCAACAGTATTGCTGTGATTTTTGGCAGGTTTTGCAAATGACACAAAAACATGCAAAAGTCACGCTGTTGCTGCAAATGTCAGCAAAATGTCAGGCTTGGAGAGCTGCAGTAGGCAGTCGCCCGAAAAGGGTGGCAAGGGAGGGGGGCTTGAAACAAGAAGACTTATTTAAAAATGGTGGAACTTACATTGTGAAGGTGAGGGAATTCGATCTCCACAGGGGAGGACAGGAAAGATGTGGAAGGGTTGACGATCACTGATACCACCTTGGAGTTGAGCAGGCTTGTGTTGCTGCAGGGAGACAATGGGAGGTGAGAATGTTAAACAGTCAGTTTGGTGCAAATGAGGTTTTACAGTGTTTGATCAGAGGTCACACAGTGTATTAATGATGGACGACTCTGGCTGCAGAGGAGAATGGACGGTCGTCGTCTAGTGACAACACACTGTACACTCTATTGAAAGCCAGTTTCATTCACCTGAGAGCAGAGAAATTGATTTACCTTTGGAAGGACAGAATAGGAGCGAGGTTTCTGTAGAGGACGATGCCGGTCACGAAAGCATCACTGCCATCTGGAAAGGACAAACATCTTCTTTAGATCAAGATTCAACCCAAAGATGATCAGTTGTGACCCACATGTCAACTCTGTTTGGGCTTACCAGACTGTTTGATCGACAAAGCTTCGCGGGACACCGAGATCTTCTCCTCAGAGGTTCTGACCCAGTCCAACATGCCTCTCCAGCCTTTCACAGGGAAGGTGAAGTTGGTGTGTTCAGTTGCAGGGCGCTTGTGGATGCTCAGAACTGAAGACACACGCACACATAAAGACTTTGTTAGTGCACAGGCCGGGGAAGAAAGAAACAGCCACTAATTGATTTATGTTTCTTGTGTCTTGACCAGTGTAGTCATTTTTGACATGATTTCAGCTTTGTGGGCTGCAAACATTTACACCAAGTAATGTACAGTGTTTTTAGACAGTCTCTGACAGATTCTGAAGCCCAAAAGTCATGAGTTATGTGAAATATTCCTATGATCTGAAGCAGATATCTCAGAGATGGCATGGCTGATATAGTGAAGGCGCTGGACTTGACACTCTGTCTTGTCAGAATGATAACTGATGCTTATGTGGACTCAGAGACACAGGCCGGATTAAGATTGATGCACTTGCCGACCACAGAGAACAGACACATCATCCTGACTAGGTGGAGCAGCAGGAGGAGATTGACGCTCACCCAAATTCTCGGTGACTTCATAAACGTCCTGGAAGCCGCTCATTTGCATGCCGATCATGTTCACAAAGTCCTCGACCAGGCGGAAAAACTCCTTAACACTGGCACCCATCTGAGATAAGACACGGAGAAGACATGGAGGAATAGTCAGTAATGGGGCAGAAAGACAGGGGTATATTCATCTATGATTATCACAATTAGACGCTGTAGGCTGCACCACCCTGACAACTCCATTCATATTCTACCTACACCTATTCTTTCAGAGCAGAGACGTGAAAAGAGAAAGAAAGAGAAAAAACCACACTTCTTGCTGCTATGCAACAACTTCCTGAAGGACATAAATGGGCAGTCGGTTGATTCATACTCAAGTTTTTTTCATCCTCTCTCTCGTGAAAGGGAGGGCTGCATGACTTGCGTGTCTCTGACGCAGAACTGCAGTGATGTGGGCGCAAGGTGTGTGTTTGTATGCGATGTTCTGTCTGCATCCCTCTACAAATGCCATCAGTACGTAGGACGGCATGGAGACTCACAGACTGCAAAGTGGGCGTAGTGATTCTCCCTGATTCGATCTCACTCACTGTGTCTCTCTGTCTCCCTTTGACTGCTGTCACCTCCTATATTACACTTTTCTCCACTTGCCGTAATTCGGTCGTCATCCAGTTTGCAAAAAAAAAAAAAAAAAAAAGACTTTCTAGACTGCAGTAGGAGATTTTTGGATGACTAACTTTTTCTGCAGTGCCCTCATCTTTTCTCAGCGAATTGTGGGAACTGTTTGTTCACTAACTTTGGCAGGAACACTGAGAGAGTGTGTGATAAATGTCAACAGGTGGTCAGAAAAAAAAGACAAGAGTCCATCTAGATCTATGTTGACCACAGCAGGAGCTGCAGGCTGACCCTTGACCCCCCCTTTCCATAATGATTTCATTAAACTTTGTCAATGTCTTGTGTACTGTCATGTTCTAGTCATTAAAATTATTTTAATTGCTATATAGTAGACATTTTTAAAAATAAATACACATTATAAAGTTCCTATACATGTTCTACTTGAAGCTTAGTCTAACAATAAAGGATCATTTTTGACTCCCTTTAATTTAATCCTGGTTTCAAATATTAAAACCTCTTCAGCTTGCCTGTGGGTGTTACATTTGGATTCTTGTCCCAAGTTAGACGTCAAGAGTATAAGGCACCTTCTCTAGTCTTATTAAGCATGATCTTTTTTTTACTAAGTTTAGCTTCCAAATTCTGATCCTATGACAGGAATACAGACACAATAAGACCCTCTCCACATTCAAACACCCTCTTATCACGTACCAGCTGCACTTCTTCCCATTTGTCACGGTGTTCCTCCTTGAGCAAGTTGCTGATGGTCTGGACGTAGTTCTGAAGATAATTAGTGATGTGATGGTAAAAAAAACAGACCATAATTAGAAACTATTTTTGTTCAGAGAAGTTTAAAGGAGACTGTTACATGATCTTATATTTGAAGATTAGAATTTTTATATAAAAATGTTTTCTTACCACCACGTCAGCGTTGCTCAGCTTCTGCTTGGTGACGTTGTACAGATCAGTGGTGTTCTTCAGGGTTTCCATAATGGCCAACAGGTCGCCGCTGTACTTGGTTCCATCATCTGAGGCAAATCTCAGACGTGAAATCACTTCTGCGACCCCATCCACACTCTGGCCCTGCTGCACTTTGGAGATGTAGTCCCTGGACTGTGGAAGAGGGGTCAGGAGGTTAATCTGGATGTCTGTGGTGTATCATGAAGGTGCAACAGATGAGGTGTTTAACATTTTAATTACCAGCATCTGAATGTTCTGATAGTTCTTGGAGACACACTTGATGTAAGTGGGGTTCTCCCAGGAGGCCAGACCTACAGCGTCCAGGGTGCAGCGGCGCAGAATCATACCTGTTAATGAAAGAAAGCACTTGTAGTGTGGCGTGATAGATATAGCAAGCAGTGTAACCTACACAAGGAGAGCAGGTCAACCGCATCACAGTGCTCATCTGTTACCGTACCTGAGGCATCAGTGGGGCAAGAGATGGCAGCCATTTCTCCAGCAGCGGTTTTCTTCCACACAACATCTCCAGTGTTCTGCTCGGAGCAGATCTCATGAGGCTCTGAAAGGTTAAATGAATATTATATGATTTGTTTGGTGATGGATCTAGTTGATGTTCTGGCCTGTTTTATAGGGAAGCTGCTCTCATGCATTGGTTTATGATGAAGCCACTGACCAGGGCATCTCTTCTCGTTGCACCGCTTCTGTTCCTGTTTTTCACCAGGGCAGGGTTCTCCACCAAAGAAAGGCCCTTCACACACTCTCTGCCTCTGCTGAACGCCTCCACCACATGTCTTACTGCAGCTGCTCCATGAGCTCCATGAATGCCAGCGTCCATCAACTAAAGAGAACATTTCACAGCGTCAACTCTGGGCTCCAGTTTAATTTCATTACATATGACTTATCCAGACATATTTTTTTACCGGGACAGTCTTTCAGGAAGCAGTTGGCCGTCTCTTTCCATCCTCCGTGACACTCAGAACCTCCATAAGATGGACCGTTGCACTCCCTTGTTCTCTGCATGGTGCCGTTGGAGCAGGAAGCGGAGCAGGCACTCCAGGCGGTCCACTCGTTCCAGGCTCCGTCCACTGGAGGGAGATTGATTAAAGCACATGAGAGAGAAGGAGTTAATGTCGGGCACAAGGACAAGACAAACCTACAGGGGACAGGCATCAAGATGCAATCAAAGATGCTATTACCATTTCACTGACCTACTTTAGCTGACTTTGAGTCAAAGAAGGAGAAGTAGTCCAACTTTTGTTTCGTTTAAGCTTATGCAGTTCGCTATAAATAAATATTCCTTAGTTTGTTATGGCCAGTGTTGCTTCAGTGCTGTTTTAATTGTTGCCATGATCTCACGTTTAATCCTGTTTCTTCAAAACTCGTTCCTGACACTTGCAGTTAAATCTTTACAGTTGCATTTTATACCTTGGCCAAAACTAGATAAGATAACATATGGACTGCTTTTCTACTCTTGTTGAAAACGTTTTGCCTTTGCTTAACTGTTGCAGGTTCAGGCCTTGGTATGGACAAAGCTGTGGTGCAGAGAGACATCTGCTGACAAGAACTAGGAATTGCAACAATGATTGTCTGCAACTCTTGAGTGGTGCAAAAGAAAAAAAGGTGCGAGGAACAAACTGGTAAAACACCGAAATCCTCTCAGCACACATGTAGGTGGCAGAGCAGGAAAAAACTGGTTTAAATATGCGGTGATAATTAGTCCAGCATGAGTCAGTGGTGCTTAAAAACCCTCTGACTAACACCAGCAGAGGCCTTTATTGTGTAGATGTGTCAGATGTAATGTCAACCTGCCACTGCAGCTGCTGTTTGAATCAGTAATGATGCAGATACATTGTATAATCAGCGTGAACAAGAAAAGAGTCAAATGTCACAGGCAGAGAATTGTTATCGCAGGCAGAAGTCACTATTTACTTTTCTGTCAAACAGTAAAACTCAAATGTCACATTCATGACTCACCTGGGCAGACAGCGATGTTGCAGAACTTAGTTTGTTTTGTGGGTCCCCTGCATGGCTCTCCTCCATTCTTGGGCTGCTTACAGGAGCGGCTGCGATCACGGTAGCCACGGCCACAGGTGGAGGAACACAGGCTCCAGGGGGTCCACTCATCCCAGGCACCATCAACTATAAGTAAGTAAAGACATTAACAAGTGTTATATTTTTTTTATTTATTTTTTTACTGTTTCAAGTTGCATTTTGTCATTTTTCCGCTAGGTGGTGCAATCTTACAGCCATCTGAATCTGATAACTATGGTTGTTTTGATGTGAGTGAATTGCAGCCTCTTTTCAAAACCATCCAAAGCAGTTTAAAAAAAAACATTGACAACGCCATGAATTGCTGGAACATTTTCTGCATCTTTTTTTCAGGTGGAGGAGCAGCAGTGGTGGTGGGGGCTCACCAGGACAGACGACTGTGTTGTTGCAAGGCCGGTTCTCACGCAGGGGCCCGGTGCACTGGGTGGTAAAGGAGGAAGTAGCGCAGAGGCGAGTGCGACTCTGCCAGCCCTCACCGCAGGTGACTGAGCATGCACTCCATGATGACCACTCGTCATTCTTAGCATCTGATAAGACAAAGAAAAACATGGATTAAAAAGAGTTAGCACATATCTACATCACTGATCTGTTCTCACTGTCAGTTAGTCTTAATAACTCGCCTGTTTGGGTGGCAACAACTCCCGGGTTGGAATCACCTTCTCTTCTCGAACCAATGATGGCCCTCAGACCCTGGCTCCTGTTGCGTTCTTTGCCTGTGGGAAAATGAAATGCACTGATGACAAATGCACTGAATGGGAGCCACCTGCAGCTGACAGCTCATGGCTGAAACACTCACCAATGCAGGGCTGGGGGTTGCAGGCTCGGCCTTCCTCAACTGTTCCCTCACACACTTCCTCCTCGGGCTGGCAGCCTCGGCTACGCACCTGGACTCCACCGTCGCACTCCTGGCTGCAGGCAGACCAGCGACCCCAACCGGCCCAGCCTTCTGTAAAGAAACCACAGCAAAAAAGGTTTAAGTCATGCCATGCGGTGGCGACTTTGAATCTGAACTTTGTTCCTGTCTGAGGGAACTCACAGGAAGTAGTCTGAGCTGAGAAGTTAGAGGTTGAGGTCAGTTAACTTGTTCTTTTCAACCTAGGCCTTGTGGGTGGTAAACCCCTGACTGGCTGAGCTACTGCTGAGGCCTTGAATGAAAACTTTAGTGACGTACTATGCAGTGACTATACAGTACGCATGACTCAAAAGAAAGTAGAAATATTCATTTTCTATGCAGAGAACTAAAAAGACTCCTTTGTTAGAGGTGAGCACTCAGGCTGATAGGTGTTCCATTTGAAATGGTAATTGTTCGCTTTTAACCACTCACCGTGTGAACCACGGCAGAGTGGTATGGAAGGATGACAGGCGCGGTTGCTATGACGACTATGAGTGCTGTGTTTCGATTTCCGCTGCCAGTTGACTGAGCTCTTTGTGCTCCACTTTGCCCGCTCCAACACCATCACTAACACACAAACACGTCCTTCAATCTCTCCCCAAAACCCAGACTCCACGCCGAGCCATAAATCCCAAAGGCCTGCCA